TTAAGATAACAATTAGGTAACTTTAAATAAACCGAAGTTTAAATTTTGTTTTTATGATTTTGTGTAATTCAGAAGCATTTACATATAAAATACATATTTTAAGAAAAATATTAATAAACTCGTTTTTTATTAATGTTCTGAAAGACATTTTTTTATTTTAAAAAGACAATTATAACACACAATTAAATAAAATTAAATGAAAACCAAAAACAAATTTAACAAAAGGGATAAAAGTAAACCAAGCTGATATATCTAAACTTAAATAAATAAACTGAAACAATAACTATTATATGAATGAGTGAAATATGATTTATTCCTTTATTGAACTATATACTCTTAAATTTACATTTCAGGGAATCCTTACTGTGTGTGCGCAGATACGTTACTTAAAATCTGTTTATCCATAACTGATGCAATTCCTAATTCTAAGCAAGCATATAAAGCTTTGAATGGGTATACGTTTTGCTGGAAACTTCAGGATTTATTCTTGTACCTCTCGGAAACCTACGTTAGTCACATGGTTATTCTAGATTCCGTATTTCGTATCACAATCAATATGCTAATTAAAGCTTTGTTCATGTACAATTTCCTCGTCAACGTCGGGCGCTCGGGACTGAGCTCGGGGAAAACGTGGCATTTGTAGAGTAGATCTTTAGATTTATTCTAAATTGTTATCATCAGTGGACGAGATCAGTGAAAGTCTAGATTTATAAGAGCTCTACTACTGCTGTGATGACCTGCTCTATAATGATGATTCAATCAAACATACATTGAACTTCTAATGTTTTAAGCCTCGGTATGATCGATAAAAACATATTTTTTTTAAGAATAACATTGTAAACATATGTTATCTTAATTAAAAGTAATTTAATGTTTTTCTTCTAACTGTTCGCGACAATCATCAAATGGCGGGATTCGATCCCACGTCTGCTAAATAGATAGTCCGTATAAGCAATATTTTATAAGTATTAAGTTATTTGGTTTAGATTTTTCCGTTTATTTATTAAATGGACCGTGTTGATTCAGTTGAAATTAATTTTCACTGGTTTAATTATCTTTAGTCTCATTACTTTTATCTGGTTTTGTTTAAACGTATAATTTATTTAAAAAAAACTGAAGTCTAGAGCTAAATATAGAGGTATATAAGACCAAAGAAATATTTTTAGAAGCTTTTTACTTAAGTTACATAGAAAGGTATTAGTAGTAGCAAAGGAGATTATTTCGATAGATGTATTGTTTACATATCATAAATTCAAATGGGGTATAACTCAAAAGATACTAGAAAATAAAAATGTTACCTCTTTGACTGTAAGCATCACTGATATCAAAAAACTGTGCCAGTACCAAACAACAAACAGCACTCAACAGAAATACACTCGAACGACTGATTGCCATGTTTACACACCACTAATTCATCATCTAGCTCTAATTTATTTAAATAAAATGTTTTCGCGATATTAAAATGATGATAACAGACGTCTGCTGGCAGCAGCGCCGAATCAGAAATGACAGGTAAACAGTGGTGTCGTAACTTCATTGACTTGGTGTAGGAACTTCTTATGTTTTTTCCGCACTGCCCCAGCGCGTGGCGCCCCCACTGGGGAAATGTTACGGTCGAGCACGATGAGGTCGACAACATTTCGTGGAGGAATAAAACAAGCAATTGTTTTATGTTTTGTAGCAGATGAGTTTTAAGAATATTTCTAAGATTTACATATTAGTTAATGTATTATATCCAGTTCTGAAGCGTTCACAAATATACTATTACACTTATAATAGTCTAATAACTCACAATATATTTTCAAACTGGTTATTTGGCAATGAAAACTAAAATAATTACATATATCGTGAATGTTTATACTGGGACCATCACTATATCTGAATTATTAAAAAAATGCATTAGCTTTTTTTCTTGCTAAATAAAAAATTACTTTTAAATAGTTACTTTTAAAATAAACGTTATTACATAAAGGATAACTATGATCTTTGAGAATTGTTTTCTCTTTACGTTACAGCACGTTATGCAGCAAGAAATTGAAAGTGTTTAGAGCTGAGGAATCACTCTCATTTTCTGACCGCAATGAAAATGTTGTCGACTTCTGTCCGCAGAGAGTGAAATGTAGGCGCGTGCGGCGCTCGTGACAGACGCAGTCGCGTGCCCGACGCCGCATAGACATCTCCGTAAATTATAATATCTTAGAACTTGGTAGCTTTTGTAAAGGAAGGTTAATAGACGGGAAGAAGTTTAACAAAAAGAAATATGTCTTAAAATGTTTTTTATTACAAAACATTTGGAACAATTGTAGAAAAAAATTTAAACACAATAATTACATCAACAAAATCACAAAATATGATACAAAACAAGAACATCACGTTTGAAAATAAAACTGGCAGCGTCGATAGAACGGCATAAGTATTTTGTAGCTCGGGTGGTTTGGAACGGGACGCGGAGACAAAATATTGCACATCAACCCTTGAAAAGGAATGATCGACTCTTATTTGAATTAGCATATCGCTATCTCTGTCACACCGATAACGAATTTAGCTTTCCTAAGGCCGATCACGTGCAATACTTTTAACCGCGTTAAGCTTGCAATGGATTCAGTCACGCTTCAATTTGGATTGGGTTAACTTTGATGTGACGTCAGCGGCAGCGGCGGCGGTGACGTCAGCGGCGGCGCTGCGTCAATGGCAGCGACGTCGACGTCGGCGGCGGCAGCGGCGGCGGCGACGGCGGCTGCGCGAACGTCGGCGACGACGGCGTCGGCGTCGGCTGCACACGCTGCGCCGCCGTCGCCGTCGACTGCGTCGTCGGCAACGCCTCCGTCTGCGAGGCTATCATGCAAATATAGAAAACATTATAAAGCATACCATTGACTACAACAATGTTAGTGTCTTATGTGACGGTTAATTGTCGTTGGTTGCTGACTTAGAAAACTTATACGAATGTAACAAAGACGTAAGAATATAAGAGAAGGACAACTCACACGTCTACAGGAGCGGCGTCTCCTGCGTCGGCGGCCGCAGGCGTCTGATTCCTCTCTGGACAAGGAGCCGCTGTCCGCCCAGGGCTTGTCCTTCATCGCGCGGCTACTTAACACAGATATGACCAAAGTTTTAACACTTTATATACTCTTCATCCATTGTATCACACAACAACCTAAATTGTGATCACCTAAGCACCTATTTCAAATTATAATATTTACTTACCGTCTTGACTTGTCATCGTCGACCTCCTGCCGTTCCCTAAATAATTAAAATAGTATAATATCAGACCGAATTTCAACTTGATTGAATTATTGGAACATAAAATATTTATTTTAATTTAAGAACTTTATTAAGCATGTTTACTACAAGGATGGCGATACTATGGAAGGCGTTTAGAAAGTAATAATGTGTTATTCTATTTACGCAGATGAAGGTCTTTTATCCTTAGGCTCGGATTCTGCTTTTTTCTTAAATGCAGCTTTCTCGGCAGCATGTTCTGCGTTGCGTCGGGCGACCGCTGCCCGCCTGCGCCTGCCGAAACAATCAAAGCAAATAAACTTAAAAGCCAATTAACCTAGCAAATGCCAGCATTCCAACTGCAGGCAATGATTGCCACTGAATTAAAAATAAAAAAACATATTTACTGTTTTGAACTGCTTAAATAAAGTAATGAACCAAAGTTATAAAAATACTAGTAGCCTTAAAGCTATGGAAATAAAGTATCAAAATTACTTCTGTTGCAGGTCGACGTAAGTCTTAAGGCGGGCGGTATAGCGCGGCGCATCAGTCTCGCTGCGCTTGCGCATAAACAGCAACAGGTCATCGTTCAGCCGCTTCTCCTCCTTCACTTCAGGGTCGCCGTTGCAGCTGCCCGTCATAATCTGCACACCCCAAACATACAATCCCTAACTTAGGGTAGCCTTCCATCCTTACGGTGAGGACGTACACGAGCTGACAAAACAACATTTGCAATGACACATGTCACAGCTCACAAACCTCATGGCATAAAATATAGGTATTTCAAGTCTTTTACTTAGCTTATAAATAAATAAATTCTTATATTTTCTGTTCCTTATTAACATTGCCCAAAACACGCAGGGAATATTTCTGCAACTTTATAGAAAAGGCAAGTTATTGTAACTTGTCACATTTACAATCTGCTTGTTTTTTTTCATTTAACATTAATCTTATTTAAAACTGTTTTGTCTACAGCACACCTATAGCTGTTTAAAGTAATTTGACAAACACTTTACAGTCAGAAAACACGATTAAAGTATATCATAGTAGGTTCCCAGAGAATTTGACAAACAATACAATATTATTTGGTCTTTTACCTTAAGAATTTTTTACTTAAAACATCATAATTGGTTAAAATACCTTTACATAGTTCAATATTGTGGGAATCGAGACCCATACTGATAGTAGTACTGCCAGAGCGCGTTGCTACGTCGTAGACTATTTACTATTGATAAGTCAAACTTCGCGGTTCAATAATCAATAAAATACACAGCTTACCAAACATTAAGTGCCGTCCGCCAGCATAAACATAAAATATTATATAAAATTTAGGTAAAATAACAAATGTCACTATAAAATACAAGACATAACTGTGAGAAACATTTTGTTTCGGAGAACGACAATCTTCTTTCTTTGAAATTACATCAGATTTGTTCAACTGATTATATACGGACAGCTCAAGGATAATAAAACTCTTTTTAAAAATAAAAATAATACATCCTTCTACAATATCATAAAATATTTTTATACATCTGGGTTACATTTATTAAACCTTTGAGCATTTCTGTGGAACAAATTACATGAAATATTATGCTAATTTGCAAATAAAACATGGTATTAAATTCTCTTAACAAGAAAACGTAAGAAAATCATTCGACATTCATCTGAAGCGCGCGACAAGCGAGAAACTAAACTCGTACATTTATTTCCATTAAAAAAATATATGGGTTAATGGGATCTCGGTTCGGAAGCATTAAGAAAGTAGGTATTAATAATATTAACATCGGTTATCTCGAGTGCTTTATTCTTAGAGGCGTTAGATATATTTTTGTGCGGCGCTAGCGTAAGGAAATTCGAAAGTTAAAAATATACGTTCGGTATGAGTCGGGCGGTTCCGTGCCGCGCCGCCCGCCGCCACCGCCGCCGCAGTGCTCGCCCGCCGCCGTCGCCGCCGCCCGACATGCGTCTGCGCACACTTGGGCGGGGAACGATACGGATCCTTTGATTTCTCTATTAAAATATCCCTAAATTTAATATTATCTCCCAAAACCGTGATGCTATTCAACTATAGAGTAGCAGTGATGTTGGAATCGTTAAGCGATATCGATTCAAAGAAAGCTTATTAAAGGAATTCAAAACAGTGCAACAGTGGATCTAATGTTATTTTCGTGCCATTCATATGTCTAGGTATTAGTGTTTGAAACGCGAAAGAATCGCGTCCAATGAAACTGTGTGATAGAAGTACCTGAAACTTAAATATTTGTAATGAACAGAACACAAAAATTTGATATGAACATAGTATGCATTCCATAGCGATATATGCCGTAGCGGCCTAATTGGACAGTTCACCTGCGCTTATTGTTCTTTATAAATAGCTAAGACAGTGACCGAAACTCAAAAAAATGACGTCACAGAAAGAGGACGGTGATGTAATTGACGTCGGTGATCAGAAGCCCGACAAACCGGAACGCAAAGATTCCAAAGATCTAACCGAATTGCCGCCGAGCGGGACCTCCCTACACAAGAGACGAAGAGGGGAGGCGCCTGCGTCCTTATCCGTCAGAGCACCGCAGACTCCTTCGGAAACCGACGGCTCCTCTCCGTACACGGGAGCTCCGACTCTCGAGGAGTACTGGAGGTTGAGCGATGGCACCCCGGACGCCGAAGCTTTGTGCGAGAGTATGCTGCAGCGATTGAAAGACCGCGACGATCCTCTCTCCAGACGGGGAAAGGAGCTCGCCCTGCGGACCAAAGATACACTGGAAGCTTTGGACCAGCTCGAAAAACTCCTAGAGCTGCTGGACCAATTTGTTACTTTGAAAGAACATAACGCACGCCTTCTGAAAAGGCTGCGAGATGTAAACCATTTGAAAAAGTTGCACGAAGCTCACAAGAGAATAGACCAGGAGTCTGAGAGATTAAAAGAAGAGGGGAGAGAGTTGGAGCTTATAAATGAGGCATTGGATGCGGAGTTGGAATGTGAATACGGGCAGGCTATCTTTGACTCGATGATGGCCGGTGGGAGAAGTATGAAGAGAACGGGGTCCAAAATAAAAGGACACGGTCGATTCGGCAGCTCTCTGCTCAGGAAGCAAAGATCTAGATCCGCGGGAGGTGAGGAGAGTGACGCTTCTCCCGCTACTCCTATAAGACGTAGATCAGATTTGGTGTTCTCGAAAGAAGTCGAGAAATCTAAGGTTTCAAAGTGGACTAGAGTGAAAGCTGCTTTTAGGTAAGACACAATTTGAAACTATTACTTTGCTCGGTCAGTTTTATAATTATTTTTTACATTTAAGCGTCAATAGCCTAATGGTTAAGGGTACGGATTTCCGATCACGAGGTCGAGGGTTCGAATCCCGCCATTCGACTATTGTTGTAAACCATATCCTAGCTCAAGCCTAGATCTTAGTTGGAATGGTTAAAGAAATATTAAATTTACAAAAGAAAATCTGCTAATATTTTAAATAAAAAAGAAAAAGTTTCTGATATTGTACTCAGTATGTACAGGCAATATTAACAAGTGTCAAAGATTTGTTAGTTAAACAATGTACGGTTTTTCTATTAGCTATTGTTAAAAATTCATTGTTACAGGACTTATCATTAAAATCATATTTAAACATATTAGAATAGTGCCACATCTCAACTGTCACATTGGTCCTCACACGTACGTTAATTACCAACAAGTTAAGGTTATAACGACTGACGTACAAATGTCGATAAATCCGAAGCCGACGTGCGCCGGACAGGTGATACTGCGCACTCCACACCGGCCCGAAGATAAACAAACCTTGTGTATTGCAAAGTATGCTCTACATAAAGTTCGCAGTTTCGGCACAAATGTTTATGGGCAAAAAATTAGCACAAGGTTACATAAATTTATAAGGAAACTAAACACCTGATTTCACTTCACATACCTTACTTTGTACTATTCAAAAATAATGGAACAAGACCTCCTTTAAATAAATAAATAAAGTAAATTCAGTTCAATATGTGTTTATTGAATATGAATAAGATATTGATAATCATATAATAACAATGAAAATCAATAAAAATATAATAACTGGATAAAAAAATGCTTGGGTGATAACATTTAACATTTACTTTAAATTTGTTCTTGATAGATTAAGTAAATTAGAAATGACTTGGTACTCATAGACATGAGTTCTAGCAAAGCTAAGAACCTGATTTAGATTATATCGCTTCTCTAGTTCAGTCAGATTATTTCACACACTTATAATAACTGTCTATATAAATCATATAATCCAACAGGTATAAACTACTTTGACACCCTTCATTTGAAACTTAAAAAAACATTAATTACATGTAAAGCGGCACATCAAAGGGATTATTTCGCACATTAACAGCGGCGTTTGCTCTTGTGTAAGACATGACGAATGACATCAAAGAGATATTCAGGAAAACTAAAAAATGAATAGTTGATATATTTCTTAATCCTTTGATAAATCATAAGTGAAACTTATAAAATACATTCTGACGTCTACACTTGTATTTATTAGTTAACTAGCCGTCCCCCGCAACTCCGTACGCGCGAAATTAAACAGAACTTAATTAGTACCCTATGTGCTTTTCCAGACAATGTTCTACATCTATGTCAAATTTCAGCTAGATTAAGGCTTCCCTTCTGGAGATACCTTCGAAAAAAAAATCCCTCCATCTATCTCAATTTTCGCATTTATGATACGCGTATTTAATAAGATTACGTGCATTGTAAAGTTAAAGAAAATATATTTTGAATTTGAGCACATATCCACGTATCACACATTCATCTTTTGCATGGATTCAAAATTAACGATGCTTGTTAATAATAACAAACTTTTATTTATTAAAAACATAAAGATCATCATTGATATAAAAAAACTCGTCCAAAACAAATCATTGACAAAACTTCGAGAATACTAGAGTTTAGATAAACATGATAAAAATTACTTTATTAATCCATTAGGATATGATCTAACAATTGAAGTTTTCACTAATACAAAATAGTCTATATACCTTAGTAATAACTGTAAATAAATTAAATATTTTATTAAATTTATAAATATAAATAAACACAATTCCATTATTTGTGTAACCGCAAACAAAAAAACTTGTGTAACCAGCAAAGTACGTTTTAAAAATATCGTAGAATCGCTCCGGAGATTGCTCCATAAATTTTGAGACGAGACGAAATTACGCGAGTATAGTTTTTGTGTGTAAATAATAGTTCCGTTCCTACTTTAATAAACTAGCAATAAAAATTAAAATTTATTTATATGTCTATAAATAAACTTTTCAATGAAATTTCAGCAATATTAACACTTTTAGGAGCTTCTAACTTTGTAGATGAAAATTAAATTTATTATTTTACCTCTGTAGGTTTTTTTTGGCCTATAAAAAAACATTAAGCCCTACTGACATTACTCTTACAAACATTCGGGGAAGAAGAGGGATCGACTGAAACTTTACCCTCTTACAAGTGAATTTAATTCACCCGAAAGATCGTTGTTCTTCAAGCAAACTTCGGTTTAAACAATAAAAGGTCAAGATGTAACTAAGCCTACATTATATCTTCCAATCAGTCAGGAAAAAAACTATATTCATAATGGTTTATGTAATATATTATTTGACATTAATATACTTTTAATTGTCTAAATAATTTGTACACAGTCAGTACTTGCAAATAAAAGTTGTGTCACATTATGTACATTAACAAAGCACGGCGCACATAGGAATTTGTCAGTACGCCAACTGTAGGTGTCAGGAAACGGCTGACAATTTTACAAACAATTTCTCGTAATATTACTCGTAACATTGTCGTTAAATCACTAAATTATTCCTAATTTGCACATTTATTGCAGTACTTAAGAAAGAGTTTGAACACGCAATTAAAAATTTCCTTTTCACAGGTGGGAAAAAGCCCAATGGCCTCCGTCGACGTACGGGGGCGCGGCCGCCGTGGCTGCTGGCGCGATGGTGGGCGCGGTGGCCCTGGCAGGCTCTTCGCCCTGTGCCCTGGTCCAGCCCGACCCCCGGGACTCCGCCAGCCTCACCCCGGGCAGCGCACTCTCGCTCACTCCTAACTCTTCCTGCGAGGAATTGCGAATTGACGGAGGTTAATAAAAACATATTCATATCATTTATGGTAATATGTTACATTCAAAGTATTATAAGGAGTCGTTTGTGTTATTTCTTAAGATACTCTTTTGTATGTTGCTTATGTAGAGTATTCACTTGTAAAGAAAATAGCAAGAAATCAAAATTACTTTTAAGCCAACGATTACTACTATGGTAGACAGCAGCAACAGTAGTTATATGATTAAAATGGCGACTGGGAGTAGCTAATAATATTAGAGATTTTGATACTGCCCCGATAAACCCATACAAGTCTTTATCAAAAGTTTCTTTAGTAACTGTAGACTGTAGAGATGTTAATCATCTAACTAATTTTGAGTTCGTTAAAATTGTACATAGCAACAGAGCAACATCTGCCAAATTAACGATTATCGATTCCCGTATCGATTGTTTACGTTATAATCGGATCAAAGACGAGAACTGCGCGATGTGAGATGGACGAGACGTGTCGTAATGAAGTAATCAAAGTGTACGGGATTTACGAATGAAAATAGAACAAAACACTTTCCCGTTTTTTATCGCGCGGTATAAAACAGTTGGTTATTTTGCCGGTTGTATGCTGTTTGAGTTATTTTTGTGAGAATTCGGTAAAAAAACTTTATTGCCCGAGTGATGGTAAGGTAGTTTTTTTTATTATAAGGTAGGTATTATATTTGCATGTCGGTTCCATCTTCACTTCACTTAAAAGCTCGACCGACCGATTTTTTAGAATTTGACTAGGGAACGAATCGAATTACAATAACATATTATCGAGGTAGGTGTTTCTTAAACTGATTTGGTTTATTTATCTCTAGTGTTGTTACAGGTAACTGTCGCAAGAGCGTTGTGTTGCGCTGCGATGATCAGGACTCCGCTTTTCTTCAAGCTCCTATGCAGGTGAACAGTGTGAATTTTAATACCGTCAGTTACCTGTTTAATTTTATATTAATAGTAGCTGCCGCCGCGATTGCATCCGCGCGGCTGGACTGCTTACCCATGTATTTTTCAGACTATGTTTTTCATCTATACCAAACTTTATCGAGATTCTTTAAACTGTTCTGGAGATCGTTCTAACAAACATTCATTCAAACATTCAAACTTTCGCATTTACAATGTTAGTAAGACTATCACCATTTCCTTTCCATACTTCTCCTGACACCTAGATGTAATAGTAATTTATTGTCAGGATGACAGTTCAACGTCTCCCTCGCCGAACAAACTGCACAAAAGCCCGTGGGGCAAGATGCGCGACATCATCCAGACACACCGCGAGTCCGTGAAGAAGAAGTCTCGTGGTAAAAGCTCGGGCGAAGTGATGCCGGCGCGCCGCCGCTCGCTCAGCGACGCCGGTGACAGCGACGCTCCGCCCGCACTCACTATTACCATACCATCGTCTGAGGAACTCGGTAATAGTAATACAAGCGTGGTAATCATTAGCGTGATAATAACTATCTTGGTAATACTACTACTATAAAGATTTTATTATTAATGTTTTAGCAATTAAAACCGATGTTTTTCATCTTTTATAAATTCATCTTTAAGCTTTGTACCACTTCAATGAATATTTGAACACTAGCTTATGTCCGCGATTTTATCCGCGCGGAATTCAAAAAAAAACTTAGTAAATAGCCTGTGCGCTCTACAAGGCTATGTTCTACAACTATGCCAAATTTTATCGTAATCCGTTTTACTGTTTTTGAGATAGGTAATAACAAACATCCAAACATTTATATTTATTAAGTCAGAAAGATAGGTTTGTAACAATTTAAGAAAACTGTGGGCAGATGCGTAATATTTTCAATACAAACAAAATATCATGTTCCTTGTTTCGTTCTACTAAAATTCAAACAATTTAAAGGAAGTGATAAAAACAGGGGAATTCTGGAAAAACTCAGTATATTATATACATTTTTATATAATAAATATGATTCAGAGTTTTGCGAGAATCAACATCAAAAGTATTTACAAAATACACGCGCGAGCGCAATTAACACTTCCATATATTTAAATAAACATTATGTTGTCGTGTCAGGATTAATTTAATGTTATATACGATACGACAAACTATACTAATCATAATCAACTGCTTGCTTTTATAAATAAAACGATGTGCTATGCTATGCAACTAGAAAAAGTTTTTTCATTACTTCTGTATGCAATTTATTTGCACTGTTTTGACAAAAAACTGTTGTCTACGGAGTTTTGGCACGTATATATAGGTAAGTTATAAATCAAAATTCTTTGCAAAATATATTTAAAGCGAAAGTTTAATTTTATTAACTTTATAGGTATAAATAAAATCAAGGTATTATTCTCCGACACTATAAAACTCAATAAATTTTAAATAATTGTGGTAAGCAGAAAGTTAACAATACAGATATCTCTAACAGAGTCGGAGCCATCGCACCCGGTACTCCGCAAACAGCGTTCTTTAGAGCTGGGCGCACGACCACAGCAACGCCCTCCTCGACGGCCGGTGTCCAAGTGGGCGCAAGTGAAGCGCGCCTTCCTCTCCTCTGCCTCCGCTTCCGTGCCCTCCAGCCCCAGCCGACACTCTGCATTCTTTACTGACGCAGGTGAGTTATTAAGCATTTGTTCTTACAAAAAGTTGTCTCCTGCGTCTAGCTGCGTAAGAGGCTAAGAAAAAAACTCTATTCTTCATGATGATTAGTTAACAAACATATCTATTGCATTGCACTATTGCAGATTGATTTGAATCATAGCCTCTTTATTATTTTAGCTATGCTACTAAATTATTCTCGTTTAGACAAAATAATTCCATTGATTAGCGTTCTTCTGCCGCCAAGGCCCGCTCTGACGTAGCTCGTGCATTTTATCGATACCGGCCGCCACTTAACCGCTTATGAGTAATGTTACCAAAATACAGACTGAATAACAAATGGGGAGCTGGATTAACGGGCTATTAGCGCCTGCCTGCTGCCTGCCTGCCTGCTGCCTACCTGCTCGCCTTGACTGATGATCATGTTGACATTTTAAAGTGAAATTAAATTCATTCGATATTGCTTTAAGATAAATGTTTCATAAAAAATGATGCATTTGTAAAAAACAGTTTAATTATAGTCTATATAGTAAGGACCTTTATAAAAGAAAGTGGTGATAGGTACACTATTTATAGCTCAGGAAAGTTTAAAAACATCACAGATACGCATCATATTCGCGTACGTTCAGGACATATGTGTTACATAAACGAGGGATGTATCTTTATAAATAAAATGCAGTTTTCCTTCCGTGCATTCCGCGCGCTGTATCGGGGTCAACACACCGACCGCTCTGAAAACTTACCACTGTTTATCTCAAAGTCTAATTCTAGATTAGCGTATGATTTTGTGCGAAGGAATACTTGCGCGATGCATTTTATGGCCGTTTCTTAGAACTGACATAGTGTAACGGAACAAATCAATGTCATTCCTGAATTATCTTTTGCTGTTATGTTATAAGATTTTTTATTTTCATTTCACATAAAAATCGACATGTTTTATGTAAAGATTTCGTAATAACGAAATCTTTGTTTATGTACTTGTATTTCTCGTAACAATTTTTAACAAATCTCTAAGTTTGTGCTAGGATGTGGGTCCTCGACAATAAATGAATGGAGACATTCGAACCTGCAACCGATGGATGGGTAAACCGTAACTATTATGCTATTGTCACTATTTACGAAGTATTTTGTCCGGTATTTAATAATACTATTTATTCTATTGTGTTTCGAATTTATGTCAAGGAGACACACTACTTTAGTGTAAAGTCAGTTCGTCTCTCATATCCTGTACACTAAAACGGGAAATGCCAAAGGAAATTGCACATTCCTCCGTTTTCAATACAAATTTTTCCCCATTTAACAAATCAGTGTGTATTTAGTTGGTATAATTTTGAATAAAGTCACGTATAACATTCTCGCATCCGGTCTATGCCGGAAGTAGTCGCAACCGTATTGCCAACCGTTAGCAAAATAACAACCACAAAGTAAATTATTTATTCAAATTTAATTTTATAACCCGAATATTTCCCTTACCGAATTTTGTTATAACAACTTACTTGATAAACATAGTCACAGTTATAATAAAAAAACATCGAAAATCTGTCTCATAAATACAATAACAAAATGTATAATATTCTACGAAATTTGGCCGTACTTAGAACCTATTATTGTTATTCTAGACAGTTTATTATAAGATTTGCAAATATATTTTCCAATACCATCAATTCTAACGAAGTCTGAGGAAAAATATCTCTGACGTAATTCTCCGGAGATTCCAGATATTAACGGAATTTACCTGCTTCAAAATCATAATCCTCTTCCACACATCTCAACACGCATGTCATGAACGTCTCTATGAAACTTTGGCAAACTATCAACTTTTTTAATTCAAACGCAGTGTTACCGGAAAATATTTCGGATGCCGTACATTCACCTGAGATTTATATACTTACTAATATATATATACCATATTTAACTTTAACAAAACAATAAGAAATCTAAAAACAAATATTTCATTCTTTCTTTATTTAATACTTGGAATTTTCATAGAATATATTCACTATCAACTCTTTTACAACAAGGACGAGAATGTTGAAGCATATGCAATTAATTTGTTGGTTGTCAGTTGCGTAAACAATTGGTACATCTGCCAATCGGCGACAGGTGATACGTTTAATAAGCGCCTACACCTTGAACCCGAAGTGTAACTTCAAAAATTATGAAGGGTTTAGTTTAGATGATGGATCAAAAGCTTTGTGGGAGTATAATTTATACTAAAAAAACTCGTGTATATTATTAAAATCACAACTATTTATTCAGATGGAAAACCAGTTTCAAACAGATATCGTAATGTAAACACAAAAAGAGAACTAATTCCTTTAAAGTTGTAAACACATAAAATTAACCGTAACAGTAACCACCAAAAACCGAACCATTTTTTTATATTTCTTCCAGAAAAATCTAGTTAATAATATAGATTTGATCAAGAGCTGCCATACATGGACTGGTACAAGCAGTCGGTACCTATGAGTTGTTAGCTGGTCCAAATTCCAATGTTACTGAATCGTATCATAAAATTCGCACATGTGGTCTAAAAGAATAGCCGAATATTTTGTGTAACGAATCATTTTACACTAACCAGACGTGAATATTAAATAATCAAATTTTCAGTAAAAACCAAAATGTTTGGAAATCGACAGGAAATAACTCATCCGTTCACCGCTGGAATAAATTGTGCTAAAACACATGCCTGGTGGGCTACAAAAAAGTAACAGGCGAAATTGAAATTTATTTGCTTTATGTATAAAGTTTATTGTTAATAGAAGAGGATATGCAAATTCAATTCAATTCCATGTCGACAGATACCAGTATTTCTCTCTTACAAAGTAGCGTCTTTCTCATTCTGGCTGGATTATTGTAAAGAGCCAAAAGTCATCTCGGCCAATGTGTTCAGATAGACGCAGTATATAGAACACTGCCACTAAACAATACTACGGTATCTTATTATCAGTTTAAGGAAGATCATATCTAAATCATCGAGCCAGATAAACAGAGGACTTTAGGATTGCATTTTGAAAAATCGTTTTAAAAAAATTACTATGGCGTGTCAATATGTTTATACAATCGTGATTTATAGTGTTCAAACTTGGGTTATGTTTCAAAATTAAATAAAGCAAGTTGATATACATACGCTTTGAAAAGTCGTAAAATATTTATTATTACATTACATCGTAAACTTTGAAAGTCATTTAAAAACTAGGATAGTTAGCATATTGTAGCGCAGTACTAAATAATACAAGATCACAATACAACTCTTTAGAGTTTATTAAAATAATAGAGGCGTAGGAACAGCAGATGAGCGGGCGTAGAATAGCGCGAATTCCGCGCATCAAAAGTGAATTTACATTCAATGGGCGAGACATGTTGCCAAATTCCTCGCAACTCGACACTTGTAGTTCAACGTTAGTATTGAAGTCAGATTGAAGAACGCAATGAAAACAACACATTGCGTTAGTCCTATATCCCCGACCTCTTTTTAATACATCGAAACATAAATAGTTCGGAGCGAATCGAATCGAGAATGACCTCAACGTAATAAATCATATTCGACGTCCGTACGCAAAATAATAACACTCCAAATGCCGTTGAAGGTTATCAAATAGATATAAACACATCATATCTATAAGTTTATCTAAATCTATCAGTTATTTTGTTATAAAGTGATAAAGTATATGCATCTCAAGAATTAATTTGTTAATATTACCTGTATGAATTCCATGAATTCAAAAAAATAATTGATTACCATTAGTTTTCAGCATTTTATTTACAATTTAGCAGTAATACCATTTGTTTCATCAAATTTATTTTGCAGCTTTAAAATCTTTTCTTTTAATTTGTCATCAATCTCTTTCTTTTTACTTTCCTGCACCATTCTCCGGAGTAACTCTTTCATTTCTGACGTATTGCTGATGTTCTTGTATTCTATTAAATCTTCAGGTATTTTCTTTTCGATATCCAATACTGTTGCATTATTTCCAGCTATATAATTATTGACGTCATCGAAATAGGTAGAGTTACCATAAGCACAATATTTGACTTTAGTTATAACATCGAATGCCTCATCTTCTAGAGTTTTAACAACCTCTATGAGGCATGCTTCATGCATAGCACCGTGAGCCATCAGTTTCGTCAGCTCTACCACACCTTCTATTAGCTTTCCTGTTATTTCCATCATGGAAACTTTTATAATAGGAGACTGTGGATTAATAATGTTATATATCATATAGTTATATACTGTACTTTGACGAGGCACTTAATAACATAGTTTTAATATAAAATTACCTTAGAAATAACACACTTGATGACATTCTTCAACGAGTCGTGGTCATGACCGCAAACTTTCAGAAGTTGGTCAATTTCTGATTTTTTGGCATGAATCTAAAATTATTTTTACAACTTTTATTATACTACATAATATTATTACAGTAAAGAGACAACAGAGTTGATAAAGTAGTTGTCCTTAGTTTTGTTAAACCTAAACTAATATTCTCGATATTTAAAAGGTAGAGAGAGAACATCTTTTGGTTGAATAAGCTGAGATTACCTGTAGGGATAGGAGTAACACTAACCAACTCACCGGCTTGACACCCTGTCGGATCATATTCTTGAGGTCAACAACCCGACTGACCGCCTGGCTGGGGTCTTGTCCGATCAGCGCGTACCCGCACACCACCATCTGATGAAGTGCCTTCTCTGCCAGAGCTGTTGTCTCGTTCTGCTTTTCTTTCAAGCACGCATCTACCTGCTTTTGGTTTCAATAGGTTTATTGGATGACGTCATTGGTCAAATCTCTCTTGGTATTGATGAAGAGTACCTGTTCCCCCGTGTGCTGCCTCATCAGGTCGAGCATACTCTGCAACTCCGCTAGACTGTCCTGGATATGCGCGGTGCCATTTTGCAGCAAGAGTCTGATCTTCATTAGCACGATGTCCACAGATCTTAACATGATGCAACATTGATATCAAAATACGGAACCACGACAAAAATATGGACGGGTGTTGAAACTTTGTCCAACTAAAGTTATATTAATCACCTTTGTAGATCCACTTGAAATTTCCTCTCGATGCTTTGCAGCAAGTCCTCGCTGAGTTTCTGTGTCAGGTCATCTTCTATAACTTTGTCCACTTCATCCTTCGTCAGGTCGCTGCTGTCACACTGTCATATTTGTCACATCTTATATCAACAATAAAAAAATATTCAATCTTTAAACAAATTTAAATCAAAACAAGATTGTATATTTATCGTTTAAAAAGGGAGTTTAGTATACACATTACAAACCAAATTCCAAGTCATCACAGCACAAAGCAAAATTACAGAATATCGTTTCCTCAACGCCACCATGCTGTAAACTAGTTTTTAAAATTGAGAATTTACTGTATATTTCTGCAAACTTTCTGATAAAAACAAAATACTATAAAATTATTTATACGTTTATGTATCCATATTTCCAACTCGCGTATTACAAAAGCAAATATTGAGCAGTTTATTGAAGTTGTAGCGTCTAAACATAATGCAATAACGAAATATATCGCGAACTAGTGCATTTATGTAGTTAGTTGTGATTTTTCATGTCTTATGACTTCTAGTATTAAGTAAACTGGAGTAATTGTATGTTTATTGGAAATTGCTTTGATCACCCGTGTGCAATAGAAAGCACGCGACTTTATAGATTTAATGAAAGTATATCTCTATTTAAATCGATGTATTATGACAATAAATTTGGTTACAATAGGTTTTAGACAAAAACTTAGATTATTTGTTCACATCGATGACTTGTTTCTTATTTTCTTCATAGGTTTATATTCCTGAAAGAGAATTGGACTTGATAAGAACTTGTATTTTTATGAGGTAATCTTACTTATTATATATTTACTTACCGCGGTACCAAAACACGCGTAGTGACACAAGTCATCCGGATCCAATAGAGACAATACTTTGTAAATCTAAAACACAAGTATTATTACTATTTTAATTCACGTTATAAGTATTATTAATATAACAAGACAATATTTGAAAAATAAATTAATATGACTATGAACCCGAATGTTTGGATGGATGAATGTTTAAAGGTATCTCGAAACGGCTGTATGGATCTCGCTGAAATGACAGAGTCGCGGGCGAAAGCTAGTTAATAAAATTGTAATTTACTACATGTGTTTACCTTAATTTTAAGTTGATATAAAACATCTCGAAACAGTCGAAATAGATATTGACACATTTCTAGACCTTTTTTCATTCCTCTGAAAAAAAAAATCAGTACAGTCTGCATCCTATTGAATTTAAGTTCTTTTAAATGAATAGTCCCAGCTATGCTCGAGTAGAAATTTATTTTTTAAAAAATAAATAAGAAATACCAAATATAAGCTATGTTATTAAATGATAAGATAGCATTCTAGAAGCGAAAGAATGTTTATGATATTCGCCCAGTGCTTTTTGAGTTTATTTGTTAAGAAAGTACACATTGTTCCTCTTTGTGTGAGTTTGAATAATAATAAGGGCCAACGTACTCAATAAATAATTTGTATGCTTCACAAATATACTCGCTTCCTTTATCAGACTGCAAGGATAAATACTGTTCCTTGATTAATGTAAAATGCTTGCAGGGATCTCCTAAAGGACATTGCTGGAAACAGTAAAGTTGTACTGAAACACTGTATCAACATTATTACAGATGACTGTACCACTCATAAAAGATTTATGAAAAAACTTACGAATATAAACCCAAAGAGAAGAGTCAATAAAATAAATATGGCGTATGTAGATGTTTTGAGGTGTCCTAGAAATAATAAGAAATACGTGTAATCTCGAAAACCTCGGTCACTAGTTTACATTATGGCAGTACAGTAGGACAGTAGTGCTGTCCTGTCGTGGGCTCTCTGGTGTCAGTTCGTGTTTACATTATGCCAGCTGTAGGCCAGCGCTGTTTTTGAGCGCTACTGTCCTACTATACTCGCATAATGTAAACTCGATATTACGGTATATAAAATCTAAAATATAATGACCCTACTTCCATCAATCTCTTAATCTGAGTTTAGTAGATGCCGATCATCTTAAGGAGGTTAAAGAAGTAAACTTTTATATAAATAGAAGCTACAAAATAATTACTTACCGTGTTTAGTATTTAAAGATTTTCTTCCCTTTGGTAACGGTTGCTCCATTACATCAACGAAAATATTACATTAAGACGACATTGTTCAATTTTAAGCATTTTGAAAAATTTAGCTCAAATTAATTTAAAAGCTACAAGAAATATCTATCACCAATCATAAATGTCATTGACTATTCATAATTGTTCTTTTTTAATGACATATTTACTGGCCGTAAAAAAGTTTAATATCATTTAAATGTTTATCGTAGTCAACAAAATATAGGAATAGATTCCTCATACATAAACTACACTAAGTACTAAGAGGGAGTTTTTAGTGACCACTTAACTCCATGACAAAGTGTTAATAAAACAAAACTATTGCATTGAATTTATTTATTCTCTTTTGAAGCGCTCTGCAGGACATCTGCCGATGCAAGTGAGACCTTTCTCCACACAAGCGGGGCAGTCGGTGCCCGGTATATTATCATACTCCGACCTGTCCGCGTCATCTCGGTCATGCCCCGCGCTGGTCCGTGGCTCGGTCCTGTCATCTTCCCTGCGCAATGATACATCCTGTCTGGATATCGGCTTATTTCTGATTTTTATTTTAGATGACTCGATGGGCGCGGTGAGCTGGGGATGTAATTTTAGTAAATACCGATTACAACTTTTTTTAAAAGAAGGGCAAATACAAAATAATTACTTAAATATTATAATGTCTCGCGTTTTACGTAAGCATTATGGCTCGTTTACATTATGCCAGTACAATATGACAGTAGCGCTATCCTGGCATGGACTGTTTTGACTTATTGACCAGTTCGTATTTACATCATGCCAGTTGTATACCAGCTCTGATTTTCGGTGCTACTGTTTTACTGGCCTAATATCAAGGAATTATATCTGAAGCAACTGCTAGTTACCTGTGAAGATCTGCGCGTCTCTTGATTTTGCGTCAAAATGTACTGAAGCCTGTAGTACATGTCGACTGTCTGAAATAATATTTTAATCATTTGTAAAACTAAGATAATCTGTATAATCTGTAACTGCACAGAGATTATTGAAATGTAGCGTAAACTTGCCGTTTCTATAAAATCATAGTAAGCTTGAAAAAGGACTGCCACGATGAACCCGTATGTTTTCGTGACCGGCTTGCAGGTGCTGAAATCAAAAAGAGAAAGGCGAGTTAGGAAAGATTATATTTATTGTAGAATATTACAATTTACTTAAAAGACATTATATTAAAATAGTTGATGTTTATCCTTTTACTATAGTTCGGATGCATTATAACGAGAAGCATATTAGCAACATAATTAGGTGTAGCCCAAACGTCTTACGAGAGTACAGAAAAGTGGATTAAATCGTATAAATTTAGGAAGACATGACTAACTCTAGGATAGCTTCAACGAGGGCGCAAGGGCATGACTCGCAGATGCAACTCTGGTGCACAGCAACAGGGCGGCTGCTGCCTGGATTCTCGCTGCTCCCCGCGCCCTCCGTCACCACGGTGTACACCTGCTTGCGTAGTCGCCGGCAGCGCAGCCGACAGTTGTTGCACCACACTTCCTGCAGGCCAGCAGCTGTGCTCGCGAACAGTCTGTCATCTCGTGACTGCAAACGTTTTATATAATAACTGCCTATCCGGTCATTAAGTAGTAGATATAGTTTGAGAAATCTCCGGTGAACTGAGTATAAGTCTTTTTAAACCTTCGATGAATACAGTGGTGGTCAAGTTACATTTGCCAATAGCTTGTAATATTACAGCGGTTTGATTTCAGGATGATAACGTCCAAGTTATGTGTTCAAAAGCGTTAGAAATTTATCAACAACTGACCACAGATGATGTGTCATAAGAAGATATTTGAAATGTAGTTTTAAACTTACATACGCATACAGTATACAGGTTATAAGAAAGATCAGTAAAATATATTCAAGCATTTGTGTGTTTCCGGAACTGCCATCTATAAATAAATGAGAATGTTACGTTTTTGTTCATTCAAATATAACCTATATCTATAGACTACATTCATTGTTTATTATAGAACTCTTGCTTACAATATTTATTTTGAGGCTTGAAGAATATGATTTTTTTTAAGAAACATTGTTGGTTACTTTAGAACAAAGAAATACGGACTATTTACATCACTAATAATTATTGCATTTTGCAATAAATCTGTATCGAAAAATGACATCTACAAAGACATTTCTAGTGATTTCAAATCACTTCTTGCATTCGAAAAAGTTATCGATAAATAAATCGATATTTAACACAAAACGATTTATGCCTAACCCATTTCGGTAATGGGACAAGTCTACTGGCTATGTTTGAAATCAATGATTATATCAAATTACAGAGACAGAGGGCGTGAGCAGCGGGTGCGAGGCGAGCGGGGTGCGCGAGGAGATCGCCCGCGACTATGCCGCGTTGCAGTCGCGTCTGCGTCGGGAGTTCTCCGACAGACAGGGCAAGCTCAATGCGAGTAAGTTTACAAAATTCAATTTATCTAAATATTTTTACTCTTTGTATCTTTAACCGTCACTCCCAGCCAAATAACATTAATTATGCGACTTGACCTGACTTTTATTGTAGCGTCGAGACCGGTGGCGACGCGACCGGTGGCTACGGAGGAGCAACTGTCAGCGGACTTCCGCAAGAAGCTAGCGGAGTGGCAGCGGCTACGCGGCGGCCGCCAACCCCCGCCCGTGCCCGCCCGGCAGGACCTCAGCGAGGACTTCCTCAAGAAATGGGGTAAACTAACCTACAACGTCTTTTCATCTCCTGTGTCTTAGATATATTCACAAGTATGATTATCGTTTCTTCCACAGATGAATGGAAACATATGAAAGAGACTAACTCAGTGCCAGCTTGGGAAGAGGAGGCAAAGCCAGATGAAGTGCTAGTCCAGACATCTACTGGCTTATTCAAGTTTCAAGGTATATTAGAAGTTATGTGAAAACGGTACGTGCTATTATTTATTAGACTTATCCCTTATTACACTTGGCAGGCATATCTCGATCATTCACCCGCAAGCTGCACGAGTGGGAAAAGTCGCGGGGCATTGCGCCTGAGGCGTCGACCTCAGCGTTGCTGCGCGCTGCCCGACAGCGCAGCAAAGCGCCGGCCGCGCCTCTCACGCGCACTCAGTCCGACGGCAGCGTGGCGCCCCCACCCGGTGCCCGCTGCCACGGATCCAGCCTCAGCGTCAATGACGTCGATGACTTTGACTCCGAATATGATAGGGAACATTCAGTAAGTGACGCCAAGTTACCTGCGAGACAAGTATCACCGGCCTAACTTGCTGCTTCTTTCCAAAAAATTAAAAATATACATTCAGCTTACACCTTCACTTATTAGTTATTTACCTTTAACCTTGCAGCCGGAGGGGACGGAAGGTGTGGAGTGCGGGGCACGGGGCGCTGTACTGGTGGAAGTGGAGGCGGAGGAGGTATGTACGGCCGCGCCTCTAGTGGCTGTGTCCCCGCGCCACACGCCGCAGACTCCCATCTACACCTACGGCCGCCCGGAGGCGCGCCTGCTGTGTGAGACCAGTGCCGCGCTCACAGGCACCGCACTGCTGCAGCCCAACGGCTCTGGTGAGCATCACAACCAGGCTAGGCTTATACACACTACAACTTTTATAAATAGAGTTAGCCAGCTTAATATTATGGACCCATTAAAATATATTAAGACATAGTATCGATTAGGCGTTTGATCTTCAAGAAAGACAATATTGTAAAAATAACATAAACCATTCATCCCTAAAGTGTGTTTAAGTTCCTCTTGTCTACAAAATAATACAATTCCAGTAGTCATCCTTTCAGATTCCCGCACTGTCAAGACAAAGGAACATTCGGTGAAATCCAAATCGACACGTGATCAGGTAATACAAACAAATATAACATTAAATATATTGTTGTATGCGTAGTGTTTTACTTTATAATTTTTAGTGTTTACAGTTAAAAATACCTGAAAAATCAGGTAGAAGGAAAGTGAGTCAGCAGCCAAGTATCGAAGAAGACGCCATGTTTATTAGAAAAACCATAGAAGAAATAGAAAGAGGAAGCTCTACTAGATTTAAGGATGAGGCGACAGCGTCTGAAACAGAGGTTAAAGACTTGCCGTCGACAAGCAAGGGTTCTCTAAGAACAAAGCAAGATGACAACACAAAAGATATTAAAACCAATAAAGAAAGTAATGAAGAACAAAAGGATGAATTAAAACGTAGAGACGTTGATAAAAGTAATGGTAAGAAAAAAACTAAGTCCAGAGCTAGATTAGAAAGGGAACAGTCAAAACCGTCTGAAAGTGATTCGGAGACAAACGTTGACACGGTTACTGTAGAAATTCCTAGAAGACGGAAAAGACCGAGAAGACCGTCGGAGAGGCCGCGCAGTCCACCGACATCGCTGCATTCAGATTCCGAGGGAGAGGTAATACTTATATAATTTTGGTCAAGTTATATTCCTACCCCGAAATTTCAAGAGATCTCTATGAACAAATGCTAAGGAATATGTCGAATACAATATTTTTATATAATATTGAACTTGATCGATTTTTTATTATTAATATTAGTTTCTCTATATTGCATCTGTAGAAATAGTAAAATTTTAACGACTGTTAATTTCTGACTGCAAATTGTCAGACAAAATACAATAATCAGGTTATTATTGAAGGCGGAATATTTAATAAAGGTCCAATTTCAGGTGTTTGTTCTTAAATTGAAAGCTCCTGAACGCAGAGAGAAATCGCCTGAAGTAATTGTGAAAACTACTCGGAAAATCTTCTCTCCAGTAGTACGAAGTGGAGAGTCGGTGCCCAGGGCTGTCATACCAGTCGACGTTGAAGACTTGACCGGTGTTAGACCCACAATGGACAGAACGATCCATCGAACACATGACATCAAGAAGAAACATGAAACAGAAAGACGCAAGAAACCAGAACTTAATATGAGGTCCAAGAGTTCAGGTGATCTTCAGGAAGGTGAGGACCATAAACCAAGGACACGACCACCTCTTCCCTCATCTCCATCCTCACAGAAAAAACAACTCCCCAAAGAAACAGCACCGTCCATTCGAATTATGATTCAACGGTACAACAAGAAAATAAATGAAGAAGGTAACCAGATTTTCTTTGTAAGTAGCTAGTGAACTACAAATCATCGTTCTAACATCGACAACATATTGTTCTAGTTTACATTGACCGAGATTTTTTTCCACAGGGTTGTGCTCTCATTATACAGTTATAATCAAACTTACAAAACTTATTCCTTCACTCGTCCTTTGACCTAGCTACGCTAGTCAGAAAACTTAGTGTTTTCCTTGACTTTAAATCATGATAAGTGTTTCGGTGACAGGTAATGTGTCAGGGGGCAGCAGCGGTGCCTCCTCTCCTCCCTGGCGCTCCCCCAGTGCCGAGCGTCGGCGACCTCCTGACATGCCTGTTGGCATTAATATAAGGTGAGGCGTGGTCATAATATTATAGTCATTATTGTAAAAAACTTAGGTGTTCCAAAGAAACTGCGCTTGAAAGGTGGACATTCATTATCTATTTTTATTAACCATAAAATAACTTATTACAGAAATAATCCATTCCTAGAAAGGGAGGTTAAAAAGTCAGCGAGTGCTTGTCAGCTTTCTCGGCGCGAGAACGCGTCGGCGGAAAAGCGACTGACAGCCACTGCGTGCAGCCTGGAGGGTGTGCTGAAGTCGCAGAGCGCCAACGCCCTGCTGCCCGAACAGGAGCACGAGTCCCCGACAGAGGACAAGAAGGATTGCAGCCAGAATACGGTTAAATGCGCCGCCCCCAGTACCGACACGGTCGTCCCTGTCACCACTAAACCACCCGATACTCCTCCCACACCCGTCACGCACCCCGTACTCAGGCAACTGTCGGACACCTTGGTGCCGAGTTTATCTAGGTTCGTGGATAAAACTGGCTTCTTTGAGAGGTCGCTGTCTTCGGTGGAGCCCCAAGACTACGGAGACAGCACCACAGCGGCAGCTGGCCTGTCGGAGCGCGCGGCCAGGATCCGCGCCGCCAGGGAGAGGTTCCTGGCCTCACCGCCACCCATGAGAAAGGAGGGAACCAGCTCCGCCAACGATCTAAGGCCTGGCGATCGGTGAGTGCTATTTGCAATTATTTTTATTACAATGAAATCCCACGGATTTAACCTTCTATTAATCAAATGGGGTCTGTCATGTGAAATGTAATCGCAGAACCAGCCGGATTAGCTGCGAGAGCGAGTCAGCGGAGGCGCAGGGCTCCGGAACGCAAGAGCAGGCGTTAGGGCGGAGCGCCTCTACCGGCATGGTTAACGTGGAGCGCGTGGCCTGGCAGAGAGTTGCCGAAGGTAACGTCAGCTACATTACACTTATTACCTTCGCCTCATATAATCGCTACGGGGCCAAAGATTGCCAGACCTTAAACGTGACATGGGCTCCTAAGAGCTTACACGGTTGCAGGTCCAGGGCGGGAGCGCGGGGCGTCACGCTTCAGCCTAGCACGGCTGGCAGCGCGACTGAGGCGAGGGGAGCCGGGAGGGGGTGGGGGCGCGGCAGGTGGTGCGGGGGCGGTGGCGCGCCTGTGCCGCCAGAGCCTGCTGGTGCAGCTGCGCAACAAGCACTGAATACACCTTACCACATACAACTACTTGTTTTATTTACACCACCTCAATATGTAACAAACTTTCGTAAAAATAATTATTCCTCGTTCTCTCAATACCTGAGGTGTAAATTTTTTTCTATAGGTTTTTTATATAGATAAAGTTTGTTACGTTTATGGTCTTTCTCTAAAGTATTATAATGTGTAATAGCAATTTATGACTAGAATACTTACAATTAGAGACGAGGTTGTTAATATTATTATGTTGCATCTTAATAAATAAAGGAGGGGTTAAAACGAAATAAAACAACATGAACGTTAAATTTATTTCAAATTTAATTTCGCTCTCGACCGCGCTGCACCACCAACCACTGGCCATTGTCCACCGGCCATTGACCACTGGCCACTGACCACTGGCCATTGACCACTGGCCACTAGCCACTGACCACTGACCGCATTCAATACGTTTGGTAACAATAATTACCGTATCAAAATGGGAAGTTGGAACTAATAATATTTTTATTATCAAAAACACTACAATTCAGTAATTTATTAGTAATAATAATAATAAGACTCAAGAGAACACTTACAAACAACGTTAATGGGTAATTTGGTTGAGGTAGATTCAATTGTAATTTTTAAACTAATTTATAAATGTTTTGTGGGAACATGACAATACGAGGCTGTTCACAAAAAGCAATCGCATATTACGTCTACATTTATATCTGAATATTCATTATATTGAGGCGGACTTTGACCAAAACATTTGGTACTTTATTGCTTTTAATTTCACAAGTTTTAGATATTTAACTTCTATAACAATGTAATAGTGCTTTAATTTTGAGAGTAAATCAAAGTGAACGATTCCCTATGTCCCCACAACCCGTTTTAAAACTTTCTTATCTTAGTATAAACTGGAATATTTCGACTCCGGCATATTAATGTGCGTCATCAAACAAGAATCAATAGTAAAACAAACATTAATTAAAAAAGAAAAAGATAAGTGGTTAAATGAAAAATAAAAACGTAAAACGTATTTTGAGGCTGATAGTGACAAACAAACAAAAATCTTGTATTTAAACGTAATATGGACTGACTAATAATACATATATCATTATAATAAATAAAAAAAAGAAATACTGGAACAATCGCGAATTGTTTTGTATTTAAATAACACGCGAAAACAACTTACAACCGACAAAATCAGTAGAAAGCTTACATAATAATGCAGAAAACAATCATCAAACAAAAACACAATAAAAACACAAAAGATCATAATCTAATTTACTACCACAAGTAAAGAATCGAAATATTCCGGCTTCGTTACAAAATACACAATACAAAGATGGCCGCCGCAAGCGCGCGCTCGCAGTGACGTAACAAGATGGCGGCGGCACGCCCCCGCACTGTGACGTCACGTGTGCAGCAGGGAGACGTTTGACGTAAGTTGCTCGCGTGTAAGAAGTAAAGGTGGAGGGATTGTGCCCAAACTGTGACCTCCCAGCTGCAAACACGACGCACAAACTTCTCCTTCACTGCAAGTGATTTGGGGGTCGTCTTGCTTCATTTATTTACGACAAAAAACGTACAAAAATTGTTAAGGTTCACATCGTACCCAAATCACCTGCACAAAAACTCTACGCGTACAAAAGTAGAAAATTCTAGATGCAAACCAGAGTGCAAATCAAATTATCAAGACTTCTGACTCTTATCATGCAGTACTGTGTGAAAGAGACATGCATTAACAGTCTCGGTACAAGTCACGTAATTTATAACATTTTGGACGCTTCATAATTCTAAGTACACGTTGGACTAACGTCACACAAATATGGGCTTTATTTTTATGACCGGAAGGTGGCATCTTGTAGTGCCAAAGCATTAGTATGGCCTACAAGATTGCCACCTGAGTACAGAGGCATAAATATAATAAATACACATTTAACTATTGCTTCCATTGGTTTCTTATAATTATACCAACACATTCAAACGCTAAAATCTGTAATATTTAAACATTTCTGTACACTAAAATTCAAAAGTTTATAAAGAAAAAACATGGTTACAATAAAATTTAAGTCGTCTGAAGTGTTGGCAAGTTAGCGCACACGAATTTAATAAAGATACAGATAATAAAACAGTAAAAATAATATCTGGAGTAGAACAACTATTGCAACCGATGTGGAATGTTTGGACAAAACATTTCTATTGATTTCATATCACGGAATGGAATACCCGCTTTGTACTTTATCAATAGATGGCGCTGTTAGCCACTCTGATACACTTTGTTCAATTTACCATTTCAGTTATTCCTTTAAACTTAGATGTTTATTAAAATTACTGTTATTTTCAATATAAATGGAAATATGTATTTAAAAAATGAGCAATTTAAATTACAATCCTATTTTGTTCACAAATTTAATTGAAAACAGCGCCATCTACTGCAAAATGCATCACTGCATAAACAAGTAAACGTTCAAACTACTGATAATATTGCGAAATGAGATTCAAAAGTATTCGGAGGCACGTATTCAGGCTTTCGATGGGTTCCCTACATACCCCCCTCCCCCTAGGACGGACAAGCCGATGTATTACACATAAATGCTAAAACACAAAATCAATGTTTAAAATTAATACCATATTTGAAATACTATTGTACACTAGCCTACACTATTAAGGTTCATTTACACATACGTCGGAATCGTACAACGATCTTCAGTCGCTTTAGAGCGAGACAAACTTATGGGTTCATACGTTTGTCTCGCTCTGACGCGACTCCCGAGCGTTGTTTGTACGATTCCGGCGTATGTGTAAATGAACCTTTACATATTTTGACTGAACATCGTGTAATACACATGTTAATATATAAAATTACATTACTTTTTAAATACCTGTTAATTAAATTAAAAACAAAACAAATCTGAAAATATTTTCATATCGGTTTCTCAATATTAATGTGTCCTAAATGGAACAATCTGAGAAAACGATTGGCAAATGTTAAAAACAATAACAATACTATATACAATAGTATGTATTGTATGAGGAACAAATACATCGTCTTACAAGATTTTTATGTCAGTTACGTAATCATACTGCCATCTCTCTCATAATACTCGAAAAAAGAGAGACGACAATATGTCAAGATGTCGCGCAGTGGAAGCTTAATTATAATGTTCAATCAAAATATGTTTACAATTTGTGTTACGAAAAAATATTATCTTTTTAAAATGTTACGTGTAGTCAATCTAAATCTATTTTTGTCCATTCGCTGATAATAATATGGATATACCAATCACTGAGAAAAGTAAGAGAGCTGAATAATTATACTTACAATGGTTTATAATAATATACTACCCGATTTGACTTGGCACGTCAAAAACTAAAGTATTGTAGTACACGACGTGCCAACTATAGCTGGGGATTAATGCTGTTTTAATAATTAATGTCATATCCACATTATTACAACTAAAACGGAAACTAACAATTTATTATTCTATAGTAATATCTGTTATTTAGGATGAACAATATAATTAGTAATTACAAAAACCGTTGTACGCTACTCAGGTGTATGTCACATTTACATTTCAACTATCGAAGGCTAATCGGGGGTAGATTTAAAATGGATTCGGGAGTAAAAAAACACAACCTGGAGTCTAAAAGTATTATACAGGTTCGACACAAAATAAGTGTCTACATAACAAAAAAACAACAACAGAAAACCCCCGTCTGGTAAACTTTCTTATTTTGTTACTGTTATTTAACTGTACACAAATAACACTACGGTATTGTGAATATATAAAAGTAGCAATTGCCAATGTTATCTACAACATCCGAGGTAACCGATCCAGTAATGGTCAATCATAAAAAAATCAATAACTATGGGCATGTTAATATAATGCTGAAGAATTAATCTAGAAAAAAATGGAGGGAAAATGAACGAAGTTATTCAAACTTAGAACAAAAAAATGATAAATATTTTACAATGACAACATTGACATTGAGTTCAACAATTCTTACTCTTACGTAAAGTTATTTGGCCAACAATTGGTCCAACTATTTCAAGTGCGCTGACGATGGCCAACATTTGCCCGGCGTGACGTAACGCGGCCACGCCCACCTCGCAGGCCACGCCCACCGGCCGCGGGCTGCCGACGTAGAAACTTTAGACCCTGTCACAAAACCTAGCGTCAAAGATAAAATTCTAGATTTTAAGAGCTAATTCTACGCCTATATTAACTTACTTTAATTGAAGTTTTCAGGTACTTAGTCGGCGATTTAATTTTAAAATTTAAACTGAGTTAATACGTTATATTTACAATGCGAGCTCCCCCCTGCCCCCTGCCCCCCACCCCGCGGCCAAACGCGACATATTGCTTTGTACGAACACTTACTATTACCTAAATATCATAAATAACAATGAATCTTTAACTGTTTCCTTTTCAATAAGATTTTATAAACTCTGTCTCTCTATTAAAATTTATAAGATTTAATTTGTTAATGTTTCTAGTTTCGGCCGCTGGGGGCAGCACTCGCAACCTCCATTACAACTTACAATAAATACAAGTAAATTGTACCTAGGTGCTTCCAGTCATAAATACTTAATATTGTACGCGTTCCTAAGAAGCAAGAAAACCTTCCTATCTCAACTTTATACAGACCTAATATATAGATCAATAAAACGGAACTAGGGTCAGAATCTTAGGATAACTATTTCTTAAATTTTGAAAACTCTATAAATCTTTATAATAAAATATTAACATGAAACGATATATGTGTGGGAAGGAACTGTGGAATAAATGTATGTGTGTATGTGTTTGGATGAACTTATGTGAAATTACAGAGATAAAATTTAAAAAAACAAATCCTTAGTGCTAAAATAAATAATAGAAAAAAAAACTAGGTATATGAAGGTGCCTTTACGACTATTCGGTGTCGATGGGTAGAGAAAACAATTCAACGAATGAACATTGAAGAATTTAACACCTAAAAGAACCTTACTACGAAGAAAATGAGGTAGATATAATTGTGATATGGAATCATGATCGCGGAGTTTTCTCCTCTACAACTAAAGTAAATCCAAACAATCGGTCTCAGGTGAGGCTTAACCTCAAAACTTTAGTAACTAGCAATAAACTATTTCATATATTTCATATATTATAGTTATCAGTAGTTCGTTGTTAAATCTTTTTAATTATTAAATATTTTTATTCTTTTTACAAAATTTTATCTTTTAACTATCTAACTGCTCTGTTAGGTTTTTAAGTATCTAGAAACAAAACAAGTTTTGTGTAGCGCTGTGTGCTGTCTCACTGCAAGTACAAACTGTAACTAACAATATAATATTAACATAAAACTGTACGGTTAAGAAAAACAAATGTGTGTCACCGCGCCACTCACCGGTGTCAAGTGTGACAAGTCTGTCACGGGTGACGAGTGGGTCACGGGCGACAGGTCTGTCACGGGTGACAAGTAGGGAACGGGTGACAAGTGTGTCACGGGTGACAAGTCTGTCACGGGTGACAAGTAGGGAACGGGTGACAAGTGTGACAAGTCTGTCACGGGTGACAAGTGTGTCACGGGTGACAAAGGTGTCATAGGTGACAGGTGTGAGGCGGGTGACGTGGAATGTAACGTAAAGGTAACTGGATAGCTTCTCAGGCTTTGTCTATCAATTGACATGGAAATAATCAGCGGGTACTAAATAAATACTTTTCTTCAACATCAATAAATACTTTCGCGCTATATACAAGTGAGTTAGTGTTTAACTGTTTGGGTTACATTTTGGTCTATATTTTGTACGCTTAAGTTGCACTAACGGTGAAATCTATTTTGTAGTTTTTTGTTTATACGAGGATCTCGTAATGTGTACTTTTCTGAGGCACTGCGATACGACGTTATATATAAACTCGTGACGATCCGATATCTGCTTTCCTTACTGATTCCGAATATTTAGAGATAAAGTGTCGCGCGCCATGGCTAGTTTATTGTCCAGTCGCATTGTGCCGGGCACGTGTCTATCTACAATACAACCAGGAGGTGGTTCAGGTGCTTCAGGTGCTTCAGCCGCCCGACGAGTTCGGGCGAGAATAACTTCACGTGCCCACGAGTGGGTCTCTACTATCCGAGCCGACGGAACTACAAGTTACGATTACGTATAAAACCCGTACTATTGTTAGCAAAAATCAGCCTTGACAAGTTGAAAATAAAGTCTAGTTTAGGAACAAAACACGCCAAGTTGTCCTCGCGCAAACCGCGCCGGACCCGCGACCCGGCGACCGAGAGGAGGTCTGTACAAAATCTCAATCTATCCGGTACTAAATATACAACGACACCGCCCCCGGCGACGGGGGGCGCGGGTCGGGTCCGGGGGGTCGCCCACCCCCTTGTAATTCTAGACGTCCGCGGCGGGGGGCGTCTCAACCGTTGGGCTGCAGCGTGGGCTGCAGGCCGGCGGTGTCCAGGTGGCTGTCGGCGGTCCTGTTCAGCTCGGAGTTCATGTTGTCGTCGGGCAGCTTGTGGGGGCGGGGCTCCGGCGCCGGGGGGCGGGGCTCGTGCTCGGGGCGGCGCGAGGTGTCCAGCAGGCCGTAGGGGAGCCCGTCGTCCAGAACGGTCTCCACCGTCACGTCGGCCTCCTCGCGAGACACGTCGAACACCTCGTACAGGTGAGCTTTCTTCACTTTGCCGTTTGGTGTTTTACTCTGGGAATAAACAACAAGAAAATAAAGTAACTCAATGATTGGGAGCAAACTGGTTGACTACTAGTGGGATGTGTTTGCACTGGTGACTGACATGTAGATGTGGGCGCAGATGTCCGTTGAGCAGGGGCTCGCCGCACGCGCCGCCGTTGGCCAGCCGGCCGCCCACACCGCTGCCGCCCGCTCCCATCTGACAACAAATACATTCTCATGCAGTAGACTATCACTTGCTTATACACAGAAATAAACAAAGTCATAAATTTCGAAGTCAACATATTGCTAAAACATACGAGTAGTAGTACATGTCTATATTCAAAGTAAGAGACGATAGAAATCTGTGAAGTGCAAATCACATCACTAACAACTCAGCCTACCTTCAATTCAGAACTTCCTTCATCTATTTCTTCAAAAGCGCGTTGATTTCTGCGTGATCTGGAATTTGAAATTACATAAATGTTATTGTTGTTGTTTTGTTACATTATTTCTCGTTTTTTATATGTTTGTATATCGGTTTGTTTACATCAGATGCATCGCATGTTGATTCACATACGTAAAAGTAATGCACGGACCTCAGTCTGGAGCGATTCTTGTATCTCTTCCAGATGCAGGCGGCCGCCACGAACATGGCGCACAGCACGCATACACCCACGCCCACTCCCACACCTGGAACATGATCATCCAAACACAATTACATACAATTCAACACTAAAAAAAGCTAATTCAATATTTAAAATTCTATTGATAATTCTATGAAATCAGTCACTTGTATACGCTCCAGATGACAACAATGTTAGGACCTTATGCGTTAACTAGCCGTCTCTGTCTTACGAAATGTTAACCGGAGTGACAAATTTAATGCGGCACTCACTGAGGTACAAGTTGTAGTTGTCGAGAGGTCTCGGCGGGATGGTCAGCACCTGGTTGGGTTTGTTGGGACCGGGCAGGGTCACCATCACGTACACGGGCAGCGACGGATCCAGGTCATCCAGCTGACGACAGAGTAACACATTGAAAGCAGCAATCACGGTGTGCATCACGCAAACAGAATGTGTCAGTGGTAATGTTGGTCACCTCGACGTGCGTGTCGGAGACGTTGCGCGCGAGCCAGTGCTCCACGGGGCGCGTGATGTTCTGCGCGTAACGCACGACCCGCACAATGCGCGCGCCGCCCCCACCTCCCCCATCGCCCCCACCTCCTCCACCTCCTCCCTCCCACCACACGCGCACGCCCCCGCGCGTGTACACGTACTTCAGCTCCTTCGCTTCTGCACAACACATCACATACACATTACATGTAAAACATTATTTTATACAATTGATACAATATTTTTCAAACATATAAAAATTGAAAATAAAAATGTTCACTACTAAAAAACAGTTTTTATGTTTGATCCTTTCAGTCGGATACGAATCGATCGACTGTTAATATATCCGGTACCCACCTAGATCCTTGAACTGCGCGGGAATTGTGAGGATGCGGCTGTGCCCCTGAGGCTCGTGCCCAGTTACCATCACGTAACATTGCTCCGTTGGCTCCAGGCCGGTTATCTGACAAAAAAAAATAGTTATATTTCATTGTTTTAAACGAAAGTAACAATGTTTGGTGTCAAAGGTGCATACTCACAAGCGCGGTGGTGTTGACCGTGGTTAGGGCGTCCCACTGCTCGACAGGCAGACGCAGGCGTGCGCTGTGCCGCACCGTGTAGCGCTGAGCCGCGCCGCGCCACCGCACGCGCACCGCCGACACGTTCACGTACGCGTACGACAGCTCGCCCACCGGCCACGGACCTGACGACGACACTATTACTTGATAATACACCTTGTTTTACAAAGTACGACTGCGATGTGTCCGGGTGGTACCTTCAGGCTGCGTGGCGACGCGCACGGGCTCGCTGAAGGCGCCGCGCGGCCCGCCCCCCGCCGCCACCGCCTGCACGCGCACCTCGTACTCGCTGCCCGGCTCCAGACCTTCCACCGTCGCGCTGCTCTTGTAGCTGCATAGGGAACGATACAATGCCGTTAATATAACATGCTCCGGATCCATTGTCACTAAAAAGTAACGATGGTAAGGAATTGATCGCCGACCTCTCCTGGCACTCCTCGTCGCCGTCGCCGTCGCCGTCGGTGTTGCGGAAGCAGAGGCGGAAGGCGAGGTGCGGGGTGTCGGCGCAGCGCGAGCACTGCCACTGCACCGCGAACCCGCGCCCCCCCACCCCCGACACGCGCACTCGCTCCGGCACCGGACCCGCCTCGCTGCATACTCACACATGTCACTGCTGCATTTACTGACATCTTTTATTATAGTGAATACACAAGCGTTGGCCCACATGATTTAAGTGAAGATGTGATGTATTATCTATAATCTTAATCCCAATCTAAATATATATTTCTCTATCCTTAGAGCCGGAGCCTTCTATATCTAAAGCAATAGGTGCGGACGTTGTACCTGTAGGGCGAGAGGTCCGCGCTGGCCGTGGAGGTCCAGGGCAGCAAGCTGAGGTCCTGAGGCAGCCAGGTCAGGTTGCGGCTGCCCAGCACGCGCACCCACGCCGTGCTAGCGTCCGCTGTATCAAGTATACGAGTAAGAGTCATCCACAAATGAACTTCTCAACATGAGGCTAGTTCCACATGAAACACGGCACTCACCTGGCAGAGTGTAGTTGGTGACGTGTCCGGGCAGCGTGATGTTGTGCTCCACGGTGGCGTTGTCCGGCTTGTGCTGCAACACCCACTGTACCACGCCCCCCGCATCGCGCGCGAACTGCCGCCACGACACCGATACGCCCCCTGACACGCCCCCCGCACCGTCCGCCCGTGACACGCGCACCGGCACTGCACCACAACATCTCTGTTTTATAATCATCGTCAACCCAGTGGCATACGTAAGAAATAAATGTGACGCAATTCTATGCGAGAATAACACGAAGTCAAAGCATCAACGAGAATGGCATCAAAAATAATATAAAGGTTTAAAAATGACCAAAAAAGAACTTACGAACCTCCCTGTCCCTGACAGACGACGCTCTCCGACATATCGCTCGCCACATTCTTCTTGTTAGACGAGGGGATGTACGCTCGGACCTGTAATGTGATAAATAGTGGCACACTCAATCACTTTATTATACTCTACAACGCTGCTAATAAAATCTAAATCTTAAGTAATAGAGAAAAGGCCAGATAAACATACCTGGAAGAAGTAAGGAGTGAGCGGTTCCTTTAGGGTGATAACTTGCTCAGTGCCCGTCTGCGGCTGCCCCGTCAGCGAGATTCCCGGTCCGTCTGTAACCACATTAACATTTACAATATTACCAATTGGTTCATCAAGCGAACCGCTCGCTCGTGGTCTAGGATATGATACCTCTAGGTGTGGTATCGACGGTGTAGGCGACGACTTTCTCTGCGGCGGGCAGCCAGCGCAGCGCCACGCGGCGCGGCCCGGCCGGCAGGCAGCGCAGCGCGCCCGGCGCCGCCGCCCACGCCCCCGTCACATTCAGCGCCGCCCACGCAGACGACCACGCCCACCGCCCCGCCCCCCCGCACCGCGCCACGCACTGGTACACGCCTGCCCAAACGTCATATATTGAACACAACGCACGACACAGACTTACATGTGATGTGATAGTACAGTATAACTGTTTACCTGCATCGTCAGACGTCACTCCGCTGATGACGAGCTGCATGCGGTTCACGTCGGTGGATGACCGCAGATTTATCTGCACAACAAAATCATATGTTGTATTGCAATCAAAACAACTAATTAACATTCTTGGTTCATTTAATGGTTAATTAACCGTGTCCCTTGCAGTGTAGCAAGTGTAGATTTAAGTTATGAAATTTAACTAAGGCAGTTAAACATACAATACGGTTAATCTATACGCCTTTTCCTGTCAAAAGTCGGTGTGTATTAGTTGTTCGGAGTCCTTACCCTGCCGGCGAGGGTGAGGGGCTGTCCGTCCTTGTACCAGGAGATGCGAGGCTCCGGTCTGCCGGTCGCAGAGCAGTTGAAGCGCACGGTGCTCGCGCGCAGCACTTCTTTAGACGCGGGCACCAGAGACACGGTCACAGCCTCGAACATACTCACGTTGAAACTCTGTAAAGGTTAATTTAAGATAGTAAAATAAAATACCAAGACGTCATAAATTCTGTAATAAAAAACCATTTTTTTTTAATCTTTGTCTGGTCTGTGTCTGGTAAACTCTGGAACGACAAGACCAATTTTGATGGGACTTTGCGGGAAGGGTAGCTGGTGCACGCGTGCATGTTATAGACTGTTGTTTTAAATATTTTCTGTCTGTATATGTTTCTTTTACTTTGATAGAACGTGTTCAGTAATCATCGATTTATTCGGTGAAAAAATTGCTTGTAATAAACTGTTAAAAAAAAACGTTTTATGTATGAAGCATGTACGCGTACGGAATGCCAGTACATACCTACTGGTGATATTGAAAATGCTAATATTATTAATATAAATGTTATGAACACTTTACACATTTAAATATGATTTTAATTTTAAATTAGTGTTTAAAAATGGTTATATATAGAATTGATAGAAACAGGTTCACTTTTATGTTTATCCCTTTCCAATTATTCATCTTACTAATATTATAAATTGAAAGTTTGGATGTATGGAAGGAAGTTTGTATGAGGGTATCTAAAGAACGTCTTAACGGATTTCTAGTAGACATGGGCTATTTACTAAGTTTTTTTTTAGTACCGCGTGGACGGAGTCACGGTCGACAGCTAGTTTATAATATTTTGTAGATTAAATATTCCTGAGATTGTTGAAAATGAACCATAACTTTTTGATTTAAAAGAGATATCAAATCACCGCCACATTTTTATACAAAACTACTATAGAAAACTCTGAAATTCGAATCTTCTTCTTTGTCGTTGCAGTCTTGTCAGACTGGTCGTGGTCATCACGTATCAGTGACCCGCTTTACCAGGCGCCGCCACTCCCCCCTAGTCGCTGCCTTTTTTGTACATTGGTGCAGGGGGACATCCACAGCCGCTCTGATTTGGTCAATCATCAATCAATCAAATCTGATTTGGGAAATTCGAATACAGGATACTAAAATAGGTAAGTTGAAATTCAATTCTTCCAAAGCAAAAATTAAAAAAAAAACTCAAATATCTAAAAAAAGATAGATTTTTAATTGTTTCTAAGTACAACAAAACTGGCAGGAGATAAAAAGGTGTGCCCTTAAATAAAAGATGAGCGCACATTTTACAACCACGCCTTATTAAATATTAATGGTACAGCAGAAGTACACCGGCTTACACGTGTATCTCTGGAAATATTCCCATTTGGTCGGGCCCTATGCGTAAGGTCACAACTCATTTTTTAAACAAAACATTTTTTTCTGCTTTTTTAAAATGTGCTTAACAAGATCTTTTTTCTACCGAAATCAACATTTACATATCACGTTTGGATCATAAGATTTTTTTATTGTTGTCTGAACATAGGGACACATCTATTTCTTTAACGTACACCTAAAAGGCTTTACTGAAAAAATTACACCTATTGAGTTACGACTATACACGTAGGAGCCGTCGTTACCCAACTTGATACGGGAACATTTATTTTTAATGAAAACATGTACCAAAACCCCGGTGTGCCGTCTCAACTATCATAAGTAAGATGAAACGAGACAGCAGTACCGTTGTGATGAAATTAATCTGTTTACTTCGTCAGAAACCTATCCTTACTATACCGGTCAAAAAACTTACAACTTAACTAAAGAGTATTCAAATTACAGAAAGGAATTGTTGTTTTTAAGTTATCAAGCAGATATAATTCATTCCAATATTCTTTGATGAATTATTTTTTAATTCTTGTACTCATTTTAATTTATTAAAATGCGCAGAAACATTTAATTTCAATTCCCTTGAGTTCCCAAACTAATTTGTAAAATTCCACAATTCTTATCGGCCAATCAATTTAAACCTATCTACAATTATTAAATACTTTTGTTGTTTTGCAGTTGCTCCCGACTTCTTTAACACAGAATTAAAAAAAATATAGCCTATGTCACCCGGAGATAGTGTAGTTTCCTAACATTAAAAGAATTTTTAGAATCGGCTCAGTACTTTCGGAGCCTATTCAATGCGAACAAACAAATCTTTTCTCCTTATAATAATAAATATAGACAGACGAAGCTTATACAACGTAGGATTAAATTCCATGTTACCGTTTGTACATAGAGTATCTGGTTGTAATTAAAATAGGATAGCATTGTAAGTTTGTATATAGCGACGTAATTACGCGAAAACATTCAAGATCTTGTATAACTAGAGCTCGATTGTCAAACGATGATAACGCGTAGTCGACAATGAAATTACTTCAAACGAACTGCTTACAACAATCTAATTGTTGTCTGGAAATGGGTTAAAGGGAAAACGATTCGAAATGTGTTATTTCTTGTGATGTCTCGTATTCTTGGAATTATCAAAATGTTCCTTTTCATTCTGAAATGAAACATTTTTGCCTACATAATGAAATAGAAAACAGTTCCTTATGAATTAAAATAAATATTTTTTAAACCACATTTATTTCAGCTTTTAAATCTAATCTGTGTCATAAATTTATATGCGACGATAATTTTGTTACTTATTATAGGCATCGAAATCATTATAAAATTAAATCCCCCCACGAATACAAAAATTTGTACATGTGTTAGGTTACCTTGTTGAGTTGAGGAAGCCCATCCACCTCGCAGGTGTAGAGGCCCTCCTGGTCCGTCTGCAGGTTGCGCAGCACCAACACCTCGGCTGTCGTCTCCAGTTCTCGAGACCTCTCTCCCGGTGGCGTCTGTCGCCATGTCAGCTGCAACATGTGTGCCACTGAAGTCAGGTGTGCCAGGTTCGCGCTATGGACATCCTCAATCTACCCCTCTAGTATATAACCATGTATATTTCCTCGCAAATATTTATATAACTTTACGATACATTTTTTATCACCTTCTTTAATAGACAATTACCTATCTCACCTTTGGTCTGGGCCATCCAAGAACGGGACAGAGGAGCTCCACATCTGTTCCCCTGGGCGCCACGATCTGCGCGGCGTGGTGCACTTCCAGCAGGCCAGGCTCTCTGTCGTCTGAAGCCAGGACCTGCAGACTGCCGCTGTAGCTTACACGGCTTCTATTTGCCAACTGGTTCGTTGCTATACATCTGGATTAATTTACAGATGATTAATATATTTTAGCTTTTATATAAGTAACTAAGAGTAAGAGTAGGAAGGAGATGTCGACTGGATAGACTAACAGTCTGTTAGAACCAAAATATTTTTACAATGTATCCTCTCCTCCGTGCAATAACTATTTTGTCACGTATCTGTCTGTTACTTTTTGATGAAAATGTCTCTGGGTAGCGGTAAGTTAATACTATTTGACCCGAATTTGCATGTTTGCCGCCGTTTTCTTAAAATATACATATTTTCCCATAACAATTGTAGTTTGAATAGCAACAAATATAATAATTTCATACTTGTAGGTGCCAGCGTCCTCTGGCGTCACGTCTATGATTAACAACTGCGTCTCCAATATGTGATATCTACAAAAAAAAATCATTATTATAATCCATTACGAATGTTACTTTGCTGTTCGATATTCGAATAAGTGTTATATTTAACCTAGAATCCTTTGGTAGATCCTCGCCGTCCCTCAGCCAGGAGATGAGGGGCGGGGGGCCCGAATTGATGCCGCACGAGAGAGCCGCCGGCTGCCCCAGGGGCACTGTCATGTTCTCCGGGTGACGTGAGAATTGCTTGTCCATGTCTGTAACAAATAGACAAGTTAATATCATAATAAAATAAAAACTATCCGCTCTAGAGGTTCTCATAATAATTTACACCGGATTTATAGAATTAATTTAAATGTGCAAAAACTGGCACAAATATTTTAAAGATTTCAAAGAAAGTTTTTATCTGATAAGAGAAATGAATTTCTTTTTTTTTTACCACACTTATCTTCTCATTCAAAAATATGTGTAAAAATATATTGCATTATTTTTAGTCAAAGTTATTAATTAAAAAAAATTGTAACGTAACACAATGAATAACTCAATTTTATTGACAGGAAAAACATATCTGACAAAAATCCCGTAATTGAAAACGTGTGAATGAGATGAAATGATATATGTTTGGACGCAGCCAGAAGACCGGTAACAATATCAATCTATATAGGATGATGGATTGCGCGGCTTGCCTCCAGCCTGTCGCCTGCTTTCCATTGCTATATTTTTTTACTACAAACTCTCGCTAAACAGTAAAGGACTTTGTTCTAAAGACTCGCCAACCAGAAATATTGCTAAAAATTAACAAATTTTGATCTTAGAAATTTCATAAAACTTCGAAACTTTATTTATTTAAAAATCAATTTAAAAAATAACAATATAATATTTATTACGTGGAAAATAACACAATGTTTACATTTTTGCTTATTACAAGATAATATATCAACAATTTATAGGAAAGTATTTCAGTATCAGGGATTATAAAAATTAATCTGATACCTTTTAAAAGATTTAAGCGAGAATTTTATAAGTACGCTTATCTGATATTCAGGATAATTAATATTTAATGTTTATATAACCCTAGCTGCTCATTATAAAAGCATAATACTTTATTTTATATAAATGTTTATGTACTTGATGGACTTCCCTCCGGTTCGAGGACGAAATTCTATTAAAATATTAACACATTTCTTACTAAAGTAACCCTCAGTAAGGTATTGTTGAACCTCTTCTTAAGAAAAAAGATAACAATATGTTTTTACGAGTGCTTCGGGAGTGGAAACTTAACGAAAATTCTACATATATTTATGTTCAAAACTATTTTCTTTCGGGAATAGTTATAAGAGAGATTAACTGTCGTTTCCCCAAGGGTACTTGATACCCAACTCGTTATCAGAGGTCAGCTGGATAGAGGTCTTGTAAAGGAATGATTTATAATAACCGTATGCGTGCGTTTATCGAGATTGTTATACAGGGTGTATAAAAAAGATATTTCGCTTTACCATACATCCCCTACCATGGCAAATTCACTACCGATTACTGTCATATCCGTATTAGAATATATAATTGTTCCTCAAATTTTCCCATAACATAATATATTATAATATACCGTAGCTAGCGAGGTCACAGTCAACATTAGCCAACTTCAAAATAACAAGTAACTCGAGCTCCGGCATTGCGTTGAGCAAACAAACTCAACAGTCTGTTCCCTGAATTAATTTTCTTTTGTAAAAACAATATTTAAACGGGATCTTCGACTCGGAACACGCATTATTAAGATAAATGTTAGCTTTCGCTTCTAGGATAACACCATTTATTATTTTATTTAATAATTCTTATAAGAAAGTTTCAAGTTCCGTAAATTATTTTACTTTTACTTGGAAATTTAAAACAAAAATATTGAGAATATCCACTCTAAAAAATAAGAATATTGCCTAAAGTAAGTTAAAGTATTTAATTTCATAAATCGGTGGGGTTAAATGTTAACTGACAAATATAAAAAAAAAACAAAATTGACAAAATCGACAACAGCACAGTATAGGCGACCACTGAAATGTAAACGCAGTTGTAAGCTAATTTTCTAATGTTTACGCACATATTGTCATGACACGTGACAGAATGTTTTTAAATGGATTACATCACCCTATAATAACACAATAGCTGGTCCCGCACACGTATTTCGCATAGTTTGGTAATTACGAGTACATACTATTTCGTATTATTTTTTACAACAAAAACAACTGATAATCACTTCACGTTAAGTGAAAAAAGTTATCTTTATATATATAATTCTTCTATGAGTGTGTATGTCACTGAACTTCTCTCAAACGACTGGACCGATTTTGATGAAATTTTTTGTGTTTGTTCGAGGGGATCTGGGAATGGTTTACATTCACAATTTGGTCCGCTGGACAATATTTTTTTAATTAATTTTTAATTTATTAGTTGTTGTTGATTTTGGAATGTTTTACATTGAATCCGACAGACGGCGCTACCATCGCAGTGTCAAATTTTAAATAATATTCAAATTAAAGATTATATATTTATTTTTTTATTTATTCGTAAATAATTCTCCATTAGAACAAATCTGAGACAAGAAAATTATCTACAAAGTAATCAAATGTAAATATCAAAATATAAGTTGTAAATATTATATTCCAAGGAATTATTACAAAATCCAACACTAATTAAACAAACAGCAATTCAAATTAGATTTTAATAGTGAATATCCAGAATTTTATTACAAATTCCGTTTTCGTAAATAAAAAACACATTTAGATGTTTAATTTATAATGATTTTCTCTACAAAGCTTAGTTAAATTACTTTTTTTATAAATATCTTTTTTACATACCAAACATGCAGAACAAAATTTAAACATTACTATTTGATTCTCCATCCCTTTAATCGGAGCGTAACCGCTGCGTCACTATTGCGTAGGTCCTGCGGATAAATTTTTCATCTTTTCCCGTCCAAAATACTGCGGAAACAACCTAAACACACATTCGACCTCCTTTTAGTTTGTGATATATTACGCGGCGTAAAAATATACTTACATAAGGATGCTTCGTATATAAAATACAGTCGTATACAATAGTGATAAAATTATTTACTATTTTATTGTGTTTTTATATGTTAAATTTTTATGATTAATTTGAACACCTAAATTGGTTTGTAAATAAACAAACCCGAATTAAAATTAATGCTCATCAGAAGTCATAAACCGATGTCTCCCTACTTATTTGATTAATAAACAATATTTTTTTTTAAATACTAGCAGATTTTTTGTAAATTTACTAATATTTCTTTTACCATTCCAACTAAGCTGTATGCTTGTGCTAGGATATGGTTTACAACAATAGTCGAATGGCGAGAATCGAACCTGTTCTCGTGATCGAAAATCCGTATCCTTAACCATTAGGCTATTGACGCTTATTACATCGGATGTATGATTGAGTTTTACACTTTAGAACCTTGTAATGGTAATTTTAATTCGCATTTTTTTAGGAAAGATTATTCATTGATAAATGTAATATGTGTCACTAAATCACATTTGTACACGACAGTACGTTTTCCATAAAGCAAGAAAAACAGAGATAATAGGGAAGAAATATGAAGGCGGCACATGTCGGTAATATTGTGTGAGATGTAACGTTGGCGCGGGGGCGGCGGGGGCGGCGGGGGCGGCGGAGGCGGCAGCGTGGAGGGGGCAGAAGGGCTCTCGTAATGACAGTACGGTGATAGTAGTTCGTACATAACCAAATCCGCGACAAATACCATCTATGTGAATATATTAGGGAATAATAAATCATAGAACATTCACTAACAAATACACTACGAAAAAAACAATGTTTGTATGGCAATCCTCGCACGATTGTATATTGTTTACCGACAAAGACGTTGCCGATAAATGATAGATAAGGATGCCCCCTTCAGGATGAATCTGTAATTACTCTTTAGCACAAAGAGTCTGCATGCCTCAAAGCTCTACTAGCCAGAAAACTCTGCACCAATAAGGATTTTCCTTTATTCGTTCTAATCTATCCGACATTCATTTGTTTCCCTGAATTTTGTACCGAGGTATTATCACATCTTGGCTAAGATTCGATAGCATATTTTTGTAATTCGCTTGAACCGGTTATGATCCAGATGGCCGCAGCCCTATGGCCACTGCCCTAGGGTGTCGAGCGTGAAGTCGCGCTCCGCTGCCCGCAGGAGGGAAGCCAGGGCACAAGCTAAAGCTTATCTTCAACATGTTACAGAATTAAAGGCAAACGTGTGCACAATCTAATAAACCTAGTATATTTAAGCGCAAATACATCAAAAATATCACGAAAACGTTTATTCGTTTTCCCCAGATTTATTGTAAATCTGTGCATGTCACAAGGTCGAGCGCCTGGTTTAGACATAAAACTACGTACGGGCCCGTACGCATCGCAGCCTTATAGCCGCGGAAGAGGCACTAAAATCTATTTTTGACCCTTCCTCTTTGCCGCTTATCGATTGAAAATTAAACGCGAAGCTCGCACGCTAACCTATCATTTTTATCGAGTTGTGGTTTTGGTCGAGGTCCTTGTATTTCTTTTCGCAATACACATAGCTTCTATTTTATTATCTGAAGAACTTTTATAATGCTACAGTATTAAAGAATCTATATACTTACAAACGTACTGTACCTAATTCTAGTAATCGATTGGCACATTATACAAACGGCGGGTATTGCAATGTGACCGCAACGCGGGTGGTCGCCACTGTCACCAGCCGCTTCGAATATCGGAATTGTTGACGGTAACATGACCTGATATGGATGCTTTTATCATCGTATGATTGTTCTAGAATCATAATAAGTTTTTTAACTATCCATTATGATTTCAGAAGTGCCTTTAAGGGCCACGTAGTCGTAGACCATGTATGTAAGACTGTATCAATTAAAAAGACTGTCGGCATAACGATTAAATCCCTTCAATTTAGTTATAACCCAACTGTGTGTGTAAAAAGTAAAAAGTACATACTAAATGTAAAAGTCATGGGCACAGTTCCAACGGTTCCAAGTTGTAGGGAATAATAACAAAGAGCAAAGTATTGGTGAGCGCTAATAACTTGTAATTATCCAGTTCAGCGGCCGTGGCAAATTATTCGCTACGTACTACGAACGCTTTTTGCCCTAATTTGTTCGAGCACAAAACAACGGACTCATTAAAAACAGTACAACTTATCAGGGAGACGATAATAATTTATATGTAGCGTAATACATAATACATGAGAACAGAAAAACGTATTATGAACCTTCTTCCCTCGTATATAACACGTTTTTAATAATGTTTTGAAAGTGGGGACTCGTGCTAAGAAAACATTGTAATAAAAAAGACTAACTGAAAGTCTTGCCTAAAAGCATTTTTGCTACGGCAAAAAAAATCAAATATGTTAGGAATTATAACCGTCATCAGTTAAATCTCTTTTTGTGTTTTTTCTCCTAATCTAGATACATAGATGAATGGATGGATGTTTGTTAAAAGGTATCTCCAGAACGGCTGGATGGATCCCACTGAAATTTGGCATAGATGTAGTAACCTGAAAGAATACATAGGCTACTAATTAAGTTATTTTCTAGTTCGGCGCGGACGGAGTCTCATTGATCAGCTAGAATAAAGAAACATTTGAACAACTGTAGCAATTTAATTAAGCATTACGCTTTCATTGGGCTTTGATTTCATCTGGCTGAACTATAACAAATGATATACACTAAACAAGAATGACTTATATAAATATGATAGATGAAGGATATAGAGTATTCTCACAACATGAGAGGGTTTAAATAGCTTCAGGGTGAGTAATGGAAACTGCGCCCTGAATGGAAATGAACCTTGGACGTTCTGATGGAAAGCTGCCAATGACGTAAGGGTTTCCATTCTATCAAAAGAGATGAGAAGATTTCTCCAAGTCATCTATTAATGATATACTGATTATATTAAGCTCATTATTATATATTTTTGTATATTCTATATAATATTATACATTAAAGGAAAACTTATTGTGGATTTCAGTATCTACTCTATCATTGTCCTTCATATAACTAAGATAAAAAAATCATTTTAAGACAATTTCGGCAGTGGAAATTATCTACATCAAGAAAGCTCTATTGTAAAGTATTCACACAAGTTTTTGATATTTATTTAAGTTTCCTCCTAATAAGCTCTTATACAACATTCTTTGCCAATTTAACAACCAATAAAAAAAAACATAAGTCTATACATAAAAAAAATCGTAATACGGAACCGATTTGGCTGAAAATTGGTGAGGAGGAGGTAGCTTAGAACCAGGAGACGGACATAGGATACTTTTATCCCATTTCCTATTTTTAATCCCACGCGGATGAAGTCCCGAGTCAAGGTAGTATATTTAAATATGATTTTAATATAAAATAAATTAAAATCTTTGCATCCAACATAAAACTTTTGAAGAATAGCAAGTTCCGTAGAGTTTTAATGAAAAAGTTTCATAGTGGTGAGCAAACAATGGTAGGCACCAATTAAGTTTGAACACGAGCTGCAGCTCAACGCCTAATGAAAGCCCCAGCTCAATGAATAGCTTCACCAGCTTCAGTCAAGCTGTTTCACATGATATTTCATTCAGCTATTTTAATTATGTGCAGTAATATTTTTATGTTAATTATTTTTATTCGTGATTGTAACATTTGATGAATTCAAACAACTATAGATAAGTTTTTTATTCCTACCCTCAATAAAAATACATTTAATTACTTTTGGAAACAAACAAAAAAACCATTAAATTGTATCCGTGTCTTTTCTTTGCTGAAATTCCTGTACAAAGACATGTAATCTCTTTGAAAAAATAATGAAAACAATTTAATGTTGGGCATGTTTCGGAAGTGTGAACCCACGTTAAGAAACCAATATACAATTTAAAGAAGTACTGCTTAAGCATTGCGTATAGGCGCAGCACGCGCCACCGCCGCTTTGATCCCGCCGCCTGTCATCTCATATTCCGAAAGGTTCGCTCCCTTTGAGGTAATTTGCGTCAGGAAAATAGTCTGTTAGTTTTTCCTCGAAGTAATCTATCACTTTCTCGTCTTACAAAAGTCATCCGTTATATAAATGTAACCCACGAGTACTGTATTCATAAAATATGGATTTGGACAGTTTTACAAACGAGTCACTAACAATTTTATATTAAGAACTAAAAAGACGATAATCTATACAATTGATAAAATTGGATTGCCGTATGAATTGCCTTTATCAAAAAATCATATTTCGTGAACACGATGTATATTTGCGTTGCTTATCTATACGGAAGTTGGCGTTTGTTAAAGGTAATCTCCAAAACTACTGGACCGATTTTGTCGGGACTTTTACTGGATGGTAACTGATGTAAGCAGGAGTAACTAAAGATTAACAACTAATTTTAACTACAGTAATGTTGTAACATAAAAATGCTATAGTATATACTTAAATACAATGAAGTAATACTCACATGCAAATTTAAGATGCACGGGGTTGCCGAGCACGATTCCCCGGTGGTGGTGTACCCCGCACTGGTACACCCCCTCCACATCCCTCTTGTGGAACACCTCCAGGCTGCCATTCGTTGACACCCTGCAACAATTAATATGTAAGATTTTCATGAGGTCAGTGTAAACCTCATGAGGTCTACCTCACAGTTTTTAAGAAGATCGTGGTATTTCTTAAACTGACTCATTTGTTGAGCAAGCAACAGCATTAATCCATGAAATCATCTTTATAAAGCCAAAAGTCGTCCTTTACAAAAATCTCCCAGATCTTGACAAAGATCACCCCGAAATGCTTCTTTGGCCTTATGCTTTTGTTTGGAACATCCTTAAAGCATGCATCAAAAAATTATTTACTGAAAATGAAAAAAAAGCAGGCGCAGTAATTCAAATGTAATCAATCCGATGAAAAATCAGAACGACATCGAGACGAAATTTTGATTAAGAAGCGCCTGCCCGTTTCAGTGGAGCAACGTAAAAAAAATTAATAAACGTCCGTAAATTTAGGAACAAATGACAGCTGACTCGGAGACCCAAATCGAATTCACGAGATTTAGCCTCCCGTCAGCTCACATTGGATTTCGTAGCCCGATCTAATCGCACGAATTAATTTGTTCGGCGACTGACAAGGCTGACAGCTTTCAGACCTGGCACGAAGTAGACGAATGAAATAGAACTTTTAATAAGATAGAAGACACGTCTATAGATAGGCCACTTTGAACATTATTCAACTTAACGATGCTAACGAGTACATTTTTTAAAACAACTATTCGTTTTCTTTTGTAAGTGATACAATTAGCTATGAGGACACCATTATTTTAAAAAGGCAGAGCTCTTGGGCTAATGTTTACCTTTTATAATCGAGCTTCTCTCCATCTCTTCGCCAGAAATATGGCTTGTGTTTGTGGCGGTCATCATCGAGCAACGGCGGCGGTGGTGCGCGGCGCGGGCCGGCTACCTCGCACGCCAGCCACTGCCGCGCCGGGCCCACCCATCTCACCGGCACATCTGTACACACACAAATACACAAGTTATACGATGACAAATTGACACAAAAACAATGAGAAGGCTTAATGAAGCCCAATAACGCAAGTCTTTTGAATGTTGTTAATATGTTACATCAGTCGAATATATGATACAGTTAAATTGAAGCAAATACACATATACATGGCATAGTACAATTTAAATGGCATCAGAACTATGCTAATGATGTCATAGATAACTCTACAAAATCTACGAGATCGCCTAAGAATTAAGTAAATATTTATTAGAGGTATTTAGACAACAGTAATTTATTATAAGACAATTTTAATAAACTACGAAATATCTTGTCCAAATAAGATCAACTGGAAATATCTAACGCTCCTAGAAGCTATTTATATCAAAATAATAACTAACGCACTATCTATATTCTGTTTTGAACCCTTAGAATTATACGATTGCTTTTTTATTCGAATAAATAGCAAGCAAATCGTGAACCAAAGAGATAATGCTTCGCTCGGGAAAATTGAATTCCACAAACGTAGATATCGTTGGCCGGGCCTATCGCCCCGCAGCCGGGACGCCGGGACGCCGGGCCTGGGGCGTAGGGCGTAGGGCCGAGACATGCCCGCGCCTCATTACTCTCCTGACAAAGGCAGAATGGAATCGCGGACTACGCACCAAATAGATCAACAAACTTGGCAAACAAATCTGCTAGGTAATTCGTATGTAAACGGTTGACATGTAGCATGAACACAAAAAACTGATGTTATCCAAGTCTTCTGGTATTTCGTTTTGAAAATTGTTACATTTCTTCTATAAATGACTTTCACCTTCTAATTTTTATAGGTTATCGTCTGTCGTTTTTACCGTTCAATAAAAAATAACATCAAATTGTACGAACTGTATTACCGACATCATCACTTTTCGTGGAAAATTATCTTTATGATTAATGGTGTAATTCATATACGAAATAAATTCATTCCATAATAATTATACGACAAACTGAAAATTATACATCAAATTAATGACATATATATTCGTAACGACTCAAGTACGAATCCCTTCAACTTACACAATACAAAAATAGCAAGTTGTACAAAAATCGTTCCGACATCAAACACATTCCTTCCGGAAATACTGAACATATTACGAAAATCTCTTTGACAATAAATACGGAAAATTGAATCAAAGGGAATTTTCCGCGAACTTATAAATTTGGGATAAGGCAAGAACAAATCAGGCGGACCCAATTGCCCCCCACTCCCTATTCCCCACCCTGATACGTTACGCAAAATTTGCTTACAAAAATACAGCAAAAAGATAGAGCGCGGTGGCCTTTTTGTTTATCAATTTTGCGAATAAATATAAAAACATTATTTTCTTAACACAATTTTCTCTTAAATAAATGCAAAAAAAAAATTAAACACGTAGTTAAATTAAAAATATATTTAACATCTTTCATTTTGACATCATTTTGTAGACTAGTAACACTGTCATCTTGAATACTTTTTTATATCACGACAATGTATGTGTTCGCTTACAATACTCGCAGAAACAAAAAAGCTTCGGAATTATTACAAGTTTACTTTAACTTATTGTTCTGCACATGCACCTGTACGTTCCAATATCAATTATAAACATTGAAGTCAATTATTACTAACATTGTTTAACGCCAGCACAACACAAAGTACATTATGTACAGTGAAGTTTGCTGGTGGTACCTCTGATACAATTAATTTTAGCGTTTTATACGCATTCAAATAATAAAGGTCGATAAATTATATAACAATTGTGTATTGAAGAACATACAATATTCTGAAGTAGTTTAAGTTTATTGCGAAGTGCAAGAAAATTATACTGTAACTAGAATACCGCGAACGAACATGACTGTACATGCGCTCCACCAAACGTTTTTTTTTTTAATACCATCTGCATTTTAATGGTATTTTAAAAGTAAGGTATTAGACCTCTTTTTAAAGTTTTTTATACTATTGTTTAGTGTCATTGTCCTCTTTAAGTTTTTTAAAAATTGAATACGATGCCATTTAAACTGTTATGAAATAAAATTCTTTAAATACTTATCTTGTATTCTGAAGTAAATAACTCATTCCATGTAAAAATTGGAGATTATGAAAGAAAATACTCACGTTTATATGCAGAGAAGAAGAGATTTCTTGCAGTTTATAAGAGTAATTATAACTTACCGTTTTTGGTTGACGGAGTAACATTTTCCCATCAACTGGTTGAGACAGGAAGAGTAAATTAGGGATATAGGATGACTTGATATTATAAATAGTCCAGGAAGAAATTACAAGGAAATCTTATATATCGAATTATCTTTTACAATAATGGTATCCGCTGTAAATTGTTTTATTAAGATATTATTCCTTTAAAGAGATAGTGTTTGAGATATTGTTATTCTGTCGATTATTGAAGTACTTTATTGCAACTTGTACTAGGACAAGGTTGACGACAAATAGATTATTATAGAAAATGTTGATTACAACTTGTAAAGGATATACAGGTGTAATCAACATTTTCTTTGGTACGTATTAGGGTCAAGTAATCGAAGCTATATATAGATTATCAGGGTCTAACTATAAAAAAAACATTGAGTTTGAATTACATTTTAGATCATGTAAACGGTCCCTAACAAATAACAGCATTGCAAAGGTTACAGATCTCACACTTGTTTCCAGCTCTAGCTGTATACACAGGATGTTCACAACTTCGCGACAATGCGTACTTCCGGCACGTGCCGCTACGGGACACCCTGAGGGTTCGCGCCGCTGCCATAGACAATACTAGAACACAATACTATATTTCTCTATTACACGAATAAACTACAATTTCTCGTTTTTTATACAAGACGTAGATGATCGGAGCAAACGAGGGGCGTGAACAATGAGGTAATTATTCATAATAATTATCACCGCCCCTGGACATCCGCAACACGAAGAACTCAGATCTGATGCACACCTTTGAGGGTTTTATCTACCTTTTAAACAGCTTCTTTTCTAGAATTTTTATTTTTATGTCAATGTGAAAAAAAACATTTTGTCGCTTGGCACAAACCTCTCCTGTATATCTTCACTGTTTTCCAATTTTTTTTTAATTTTTAACCTGAAATTGCCGAAATAGCGAAGTGACCGTTGCCCATAGACATACGCAATTGCATATGTGTTGCCTACCTTTAATCGACCCCTTCCCATCCTTTCCTTATGAGAAAAAGGGTGGGAAGGGAAAGAAGACTAAATTAGGCCTCCGGTACGCACACTCATCAGGCTGCACGCGGAATAGCTTCCACTTGACGCCTGTCTTCTGCGTGGTCGTGGTATTTCACCGGGCGAGCCGGGCCGATTCGTGCGAAGATGTTACATCGGGTTCTACTACTGTTAGATTTTGATTTAGTTTAAATAATAAAATTATTTATTCAAATTACAAAATGTGAAACTTACTTGGCGACAAATTAATTTATAGTTTATCTAAGGATATTGTTTCGTACCTTTAGTTACCGATCAAACATAGTTCTAATGAAAGCGTTACCTTTGTGAATTTTAAATCTAGCCAATGTTTCAAGTTGTTAAAACATGAACGCCGTCGGGTCGTTGTAAAGTTGTGTTATGAATATTCCAATAGTTCCTGTACTGAACTGATCTGAATATTAAATATCTACAAACGTGCGCTAGACTTTGCCTTGTTATACACTTGTATTGATATACCTAAGTGGACGATTCCACTGCGAAAGCTTTGACAGCTTACTTATTGATATCTCTCTTTAAAAGCTGTGACTACAGTTTACTTTTATATGGATGTTTATGCAGTGAAAATCAACTTTAACTATTGGTGAAAATGAGTTTAATTATTAAACAAGACAGGCAGTAAAAAAAGATTTATGTGGAAATTAGGATCTTAGATTAAAAATTTACTGTAATTGAACATGTCTTTTCTCAATTTATGTCTGTACGCTCATATTATTTTGTTATGTTATACCAGAACATTACACTTTCCTCGTCACTTATTTCCATCAACTTGAAATCACGATACACAATACATTGTTAAGCGACGCTTAATGAAAGTTATCATCACTCAGAGTTGGTGTTCATTGAGCAATACGCAGCCTTTACAACCTGAACTTCAGCCGTACAACCTCTGATCAATGAAATGATTAGAATCGAAGCCTGTAAACTGCTTCGGCGTTTCGATTCATTAATCAATATAAGGGTGATTACACATTAGAAAGCACCACGCCATTCTAAGCTTTAGTTAGTACTTGGGATATTGAATTAAACAATGAAGTACAAAAACTAGAATAACTAATTGTAAAAGATTCGTCCATGTAAACGGTCCTTAAGACTTAACATAATATGGTGATTGATTAGAAGATTATTAAATATATTGTGGCCATAAGAGATATAAGAGAAAAATCAGTTTGCTACAAAAAAATTCAACCCCTTAAAATATATTTTCTATTAAAGTGTTACACAGTTGGCTCGTTCACTCGTTCAAACGTGAATTCGTATCGGCTCGTTCACTCGTTCACTCGTGAATGTAAAACAGCTCTTATAAGCCTGTTACGTAGGTTATGAAATGTTAAAGTTTGTCGGAGCGATTATAAGTTATACATCAGCTTCACATAACTTTGTTAACACGACTTCGGTAAGTTTTGAAACCGTTTCATTACAATTATACTTGTACTTAGAACGAAGGCTTTATGATTATATTTGGAATAAAAAGAGAATGAATTTAGGATATGAGAATCTATTTTAAGTTAAGATAAATTAATTTGATTAATTTGTATTCACGATGTTTATTTAATAATAATGTCTTTAACAACGTTGAGTTTCGAAATAGATTACAACTAGACACATTTAACATACAATGAAGCAATTTCAAAGTATTTATCGTCGCATGTCCCCGAGTAACCACATGGTATTTTGTTACGCTATTTTGAACATTAATTTGTGGTACTAAGGATCATTTCTGTTTTCTGTTTACCATTTGGGGCTGTTTGATTTTTACCC